CATGTACCTCACTAGGGGAGTTCTTAGAAGAATTATGATAAGAATATACTAGGCTATAGATTATGCTGCCTGACTATTAAAAAATAGTGGGGTGACACTTATGCACTGACACAGAATGCTATCCAAAATATTAAGTGAGAAAATTCAAGCCACTAATATTAAGTGTGAAAATGCAAATATAACTCAATTTGCTTTTAAAAAAAGAAACGTGTACAGGTTGTATTAATGCAGACAAAGGGGACATTAAGGCTGCACAGGTGTCTACACAGTGGTCACCTCTAGCATGTGATGAAGGAAGTTTATGACTCCTTTGGCATGAGTCTATTTTTACGCAATATGTAGGTACTATTTATACAATAAAAATACAACAAAAAGTCGACAAAGAGATCCACACGCACATCAGCAGCCTCTCTGGACAGCAGGTATCCTTCTGGAAGGGGCCAGGCGGCTCTCTGGGCTCTTTGGCTTTAAGTATGAATTAAGAGTGTGCTGTTACGGGGGCTATGCTCTGAGACCCTAAATATTAGCCCATTCTTACAGGTGCCCTGAAAAAAATCAACCAGCTTTACCGTCCAGTACATGCTGAAAAGAAGCCTAAACATGTTCCCAATGATGTGCCTAAATTCGGGCGCAACAGAGCAGATGACTTAAGCCACCTGGCTGCTGACTCAGATGGAGAAAGCACAAGGGAAACTGTAACCAAACCCGTAGGATCTCAAGCAGCTGCAGTTATATCTGTCCTTTGGCTCTCTGAGGCTGGCCCAGTGCCTGCCTATAATGACAGCAGCAGAGCATAGCTAACCCAAAGGGACCAAATCCTGCTGTCCAGAATTGTGGCCGCACGCTGGGAGGGCAGCAGGAAGAGACAGCTCCCTGGGCAGACCGGACTCCCTTTCCCAGGGTGCACTGGCTGCCTCCACTGCTCAGCAACAAGCATCCCTTTCCTAGGGTCTCCGAACATACCAGGTTAGGACCCCAGAGAATCAAAGCAGCCCTGAGGAGGCCTGCACTACAAACCTTCTCAAAAGTCCCCAAGAACATGAACCCCGTTCAGAGTCCGGTCTACTGAAAGGTAGCCGCACACTCAGGGAATTCGTTTCTCCAATAGTTTGGATAAATACTGCTAGAATTTCAGAGCTTGAAGGCCACACAGTCCAGTTATGCTTGTGCTAGAGGCCCTGTGCACAGGTTCATGCACTGGTGGGGCCCCTCACACCGGTGTACGATCAGGGCTGGGGAGGGGCCGCAGGAGGGCTCCAGAGCATGTCCAGCCTGTCTTGCCCAGTCCGGATCAGCTGGACCCCAGCAGCAAGCTAACATATCGGTCAGAGCATCTGCCCCCTGGTGGTCCGTGTGCATCACAGCGACTGGTCAAACAAACGGTTGGTCAAACAAACGATGGACACTTAGCATATTAGGCTTTTATTATATAGGGTTCTACACAGAGTTGTCACCCAGCTATTTCCTAAATCTCCCCCACCCCAGGGTGAAACGTGCTGCCCCTCTAGAGGCATCTGGGGACAGCTGTGTTAGAAATGAGGGTCCCTTTGTGACAGAACTGTCTCCCTGCAGCCTCCACACTAGGCCTGTGTGAGCTGCTGTGGGAGGCAGAGGGGCCAGAATCTCCATGGAGTGGACTCACCTGCAGCCACCATGCAGGCACCCAGCAGAGCCTAAAGGTCCGCTTGCTGCTCTGCCCACTGGTCTCTATGGCCTGGGCAGGTTCTGTCCCTCTTTTCTGAAAGGAACCCTGTGAACTGAACTAGTGAGAAAATGGGCCAAAGGCTGAGAAGCAGCCTTTAATATGACACCCAGTATGTTTTATCATATGAGGCCATTCTCTCTCTAACCTTTAACAGCCCCCTCTCCCTACTGGCCAGCTTCAAGGACCAACAGAAGACAAATGAAGTACCTTGTAGGTGAGGCAGCCACAGGGACAGGTTATAATGCAATGCACAGTGTACGACAACGAAAGGCTACCCCAGGCACCAGGGAGGCAGGGTGCACCTCTCATGAGAGGGAGGATGAAGCCAGGTTTAAAGTCTGCAGGCCTATTTCACACTCTGGGCCAGTGCTCATTCCCCAAAGGGGTGCGCAAGAGCGTCTGCCTCATTTAAACTACTCCTCTCTCTTGTGGTTGTTGTTGTTCTCCTTTATTGCTTTGTTTGTTTTTGTACAAAAGCTTAGTGTGCGTAAAACAACATGCTGCGGGACATGACGCCACTGTACCAACTCCAGGTACGAATGTATGTCCCTCTCCTCTTCTCTCCTGAGCCTTTCTTCTGGCTTCATCTGATGTGCTCTGAGATTGACAGGTCTTCCCTGGTCCTGATGGCTTCATCCCTCATGCCTGTCCTGCCCTTGGGGGTCCTGAAGCATTTGAGAAGACATGGGAGTCTGTCTGCTCGGCAGTTCTTTAGCCAAGTCCCGGCCAACCTTCCCCTGCCTGGTGCTTGGAGCTCTACACTCTCTTGTCACTGAATCACGCACAACTGGATGATGTTACCTGTCTGTTCCAGTGGATGGTAAACTCCTCCAGGGCGAAGAGAGGACCATGCCTCAGACTCCTTTCATGTCCCCTCAACACCCAGCATTGCTATGCAAACAGCCTAAGGCCACGCCCTGGCTTCACAAACCCACCACCAATGCCAATTAAATGCCTCTCAGACAACCCATCAATGTGGATGAGTCTACAGCATTACTGGTGCAGGTACTCTAGGTGCCCCTCTAATATGTGGCCAGGATGGTAACCAACTCCTCCCTCCTGGCATCAGGTGCCCAAGACTGTTTGTTGCTCCTCCATGACAGCGACCATGACTCCTTTACACCTGGGTCCTCGGTGCCCAGCTCTGGGTCCAGCCCGCAGCTGGTGTACTCATACTCAAGGAGCATTTGCTGCAGGGAGAGACTATCTCTAGGACCCATGCTAGTCGGTGGTTTTCCTTCCTGCTGGAAGCCTCAGCAGCCAGCCATCTGGAAGGTGGAAGGGAAGGAACCCCGTGGCTATGCCTACCCAGAGACAGGGAAAACGGCACACTTATTTTTCCACAGCGAATTTGGCAACTTCCAGAGAAGCTGAACAACTTCGTGCCCAAATCAAACGCATCATAACCCTTTTCTAATCAACTCTTCTCTCAATTCACTATTTCAGCGGTTCTCAACCTGTGGGTCGCGACCCATTTGGGGTCGAACGACCCTTTTACAGGGGTCGCCTAAGACCATCCTGCACATCAGATATTTACATTATGATTCATAACAGTAGCAACATTACAGTAATGAAGTAGCAACAAAAATAATTCTATGGTTGGGTCACATGAGGAACTGTATTTACAAGGCCAGAAGGTTGAGAACCACTGCACTATTTCCTTCAACAAAAACACTACTCTCCCCTCACCAGGCCTGCAGCCTTTCCACAACTCTGACCTGTCTCTGCCCTTCGTGTCCTACTAAAAATGAGGTACTCAAGTGCTGCGTGACGCTCCTCCATCTCTCAGAAAGCACTCCTTCCCATCCTCTTACACTCTTGGCCCCCATACATGCACAAGACCTCAACTGATGCCCCACCTTGCGGCACCCAGCCTCCCTAACCCCACTCTCCCCTCCTCCACAGACCCTATATGCCACCATCAGGCTATTATTGTTATTTTTTAATATATATATATTTAAATATACTTTATTGATTTTTTTACAGAGAGGAAGGGAGAGGGATAGACAGCTAGAAACATCAATGAGAGAGAAACACCGATCAGCTGCCTCCTACACACCTCCTACTGGGGATGTGCCCGCAACCAAGGTACATGCCCTTGGCCGGAATCGAACGTGGGACCCTTCAGTCCGCAGGCCGACGCTCTATCCACTGAGCCAAACCGGTCAGGGCGGGCTATTATTTATTAAGTGCTGTTTTCAACGGGTCCATCCTTTGCTCAAATAAGAACTTCGTACTTTTAAAACCATCAGGTCTGTACACCTCTGTTCTAAGTAACTCAAGCTCCCATCACTCTCCTATTCCAGGAACCCTGACTAATTCTCCTGCCTCGGCTAGAACCGCCACGGTCTCCCCGCTTCCAGGAACAGAGAACATTTTTTGCCATCTCAGCATCTTGGCAAAGCTCTCACCTCTGCTTATCCAAATCCCACCCACGCTCCAAGGCTCAGGACCGGCCCAACCTCTCACATAGGTCCGGCTCCACCAGCCTCTGCGCCCCCACCCCCAACTGTCTCCAGCTGTCCGTCATACACGCTTTCCTGTTGACTCAAACACTCTCTCCTGTGCTGAAAGCCAGAAGAGCTGAGGTGATCCTGCCCAAACCACCAGACTTTCGAGTCTCATAGAACTGTTATTATGATCAAGTGAGAATTTACATGAAGGGGACTCGTTCATCTCATTCATAAGAACATCTACGTGGAGGATGTTGGTTATCTGTCTATTACCTGCCAGCCACAGGTATGTCCTATCATTCACAATCCTGCAGCCCCAAAGTTTCAGTAAATATCAATTAAAATAAGACATCAAAGGGATAAAATAACTTTTCACGGAGCACTTGTCTCCATAGCCAACGTTCAGCCACGCAGGGACTTCTCTGGCACAAAATCTGAGATGACAACACGAATGTGTGTAGGGACAAGGCGGGGAGACAGCTGTTCTGGTGGCAAGGGCGCCGGTCATAAGAGTGGAACTGAATACGAGGCCACAGTCGGGATCGGCAGGGCGCAGCAGACACAACTGAGGAATAAGGATGGGAGAATGCGCGCAGAGTCCACATGGGGCACAAATGAAGTCCCCGTGGACAAAGAATGCTTCATACCAGAAAACCAGGGCTACCTTTCTTCTCCACGTTCACGCAGCTCAGCAGTGAGCACTGCCAGGGGCACAGGGTAGAATCACGTCTCGGGCCCGGCACCTCCCAGAATGCCGGCTGCGCCCGGCCCACCGCCCGCTCCGCCCGCCACGCCCCTCCCACCCCGGGCCCTACCGATGGAGATCTCCTGCGCGTAGGCCAGCGAGATGAGCAGCAGGGGCAGCCCCACGGCGATGTACGTGACCATCTTGTCCACGGCCAGCTCCAGCCGCAGCCCCTTGAACTTGGGCTCCGAGGGCTCCTTCAGCAAGAAGTCCGAGAACACGTACTCGGTGGCCAGGTGGGCGATGGCCATGGCCGCGGCGCGCCGGGCTCGGCCCGTCAGGCCCCGGAGGGCAGCCCCGGGAACTGCCGGTGTTGGGAGCGCCGCGCGGCGCCTTCTCTCCGGCCCCGGCCCCGGCCCCGCCGAGGCTTTCGCTTTCCTTTTGCCGCCTCGCCAGTGGCTTCCACCCCAGCCTTTGTGCCTCGGCGCGCGTGGTGCCGGCGCCTCTGCTGGACGCACGAGCTCTGCGCGCTCCGCCGCCGCCGCGCAGACCCGCCCCCGCGCGCTCGGCCCGCGCAGGTCCCCGCAACGCGCGCGCCGCCCGGGCTCCGCGCCTCTCCGCTGCCCGGAGGCGCGGGAATCAACCAGGAAACAAAGCGCTTCGCTCTTGCCCGGCCCCTCCGCTCCGCCCGGCGGCGGACGCTGCTTCCAGGCCGGCCAGCGCGCTCAGCCCGCTCGGCTGCGCTTTTCCGGAACCAGGAGGGAGACCGAGGACCGGGGGGCGTGGAGTTTCCGGAAACCGCGGTGACGCGGGGCGGAGGGGCACGGCAGCATCCCGCGACCCGGGCATCTGCATCCCCAAAGAGATCTTCCCTTCCAGAGAAGGACCTCAGTCTGATCCTTCTCGCGCTCCTCCCATCCTCATCCTCCCACTTCTGGGCACCCGGAAGTTTTGAAAACATTTCTGAAAAGCAACCCCTTACGCGGTGGACAGAATGGCCCACTTTTACGTCCCACCCCCAACATTTCCACCTGATGATTCAGGTCAAAAGGAGCTGCGAATGCTTCAGAGAGCAACAAAGGCGATCGCGCGGTGTAGACTGAGCGTGTGGGGGAAGAGGGAGCCCTGGGCCGTTCCAGGAGCCCCGAGTGGCAGGGAGCACAGGTGGTGAGTCTTGATGTGACTGCTGCGCAGTGGAGCTTCTCCTGCGTTCCTTGTCGGAGCCTTGGGCTGGGAGCCCGCAGAGGGGTGACCGAGGATGAGTGGATGTTGGGGTAAAGCAGATTCGGAACTACTTACAGAAAGTGGATGCTGAGAAAATAGACAGGAGATGCTTTAATCAGCAGCATTGGGAGCAGACAGGACCTTTAAACATGATGTCTCCTTGGAGCCGGGCTGGACTGCCTTCTCTGCTTTGTATGTGTGGGGGGTGGAGGGGGAGGGGAGAGGTAGTGGCGGTGCCCATGCACACAAGCCTCTTCCATATGTTCTCAACTCCCACATGTACTTCTTCACCCTGGCCTGCCCTCTGAGCACTCCCCCAAGGGCCCACACAACTCTCCACTTGGATGCTCACTGGACTTCAAACTCATAATGGCCAGAACCGCAATCCTCATCTTCCCCTCAGCCTGAACTCCAGTCTTCTGCATCTTGCTAAATGCATCACCACCCACCCATCTGCCCAACACTTCCTTCTCTCCCAGCTGCCATAATCAACTTCCAAATTCTCTTGCTTCTCTCTCCTAAATATAGAAAATTTGGCAATTCTTCTCTCCCTGCACTTCCAGCACCCCAATTCAGGCCACCAGCCTCTCTCCTAACCACATAGGAATGTATCCCCTAGGCCTGCAAGCCATTCTCTCCCTGCTGCCAGAGGGAGCTTTTAAAAGCTCCAATCTGATCATGTCACCTCCCCCTTCTTAAAGTGGACGTTGCTTTTAGAATAAAATCCAAATTTCTTAGCGCAGTCACTGCCTGCCTCGCCAGCTTCACTCCTTCCCATACAGCTCTTCAAATGTATCAGGCTCCTTGCCTCCTCCAGGCCCTTCCTTGCAAAACATTCCCACAGTGGCCCTTTTGCCTGTCCAGCTCTTTTCACCCTCCTTATCTCAGGTAGATGCCACTTGTCCAGGAAAGTCTTCTCTGAGGTCGCTTTATTATATATTCTTGCAATATGGGCACTACTGGTTATTAGCTGTGGGCCTTGGGAAAGGTACTTGACCCTCCTGTGCCTGTTTTCTCATCTATAAAGTGGTTATGCCTCTTACGATTGTGATAAGGATCAAATGACTTAACCTATATAAAGTGCCGAGGACAGCTGATGAGTGCTCTATAAGTGTTACCTGTTATTGTTGCCCTCTATTTTTTCTTCTTTATATTACTCACAACTATAATTCAACAGGTATTTGTCTAACTTTTCATTAATGTTTGTCTCCCCCTTTATGTGGTAAGCTTCATGAGGGTAGGCCCATGCCCAGGTATACCACTCTTAACTCTAACACTTAGCATAAATGCCTTGTACATAGTAAGTCTTTTAATAAATATTTGTTAAGTGTCTAAAGGAATTTGAAAGGCTTTCACCATGAAAATTGTTTAAAAACAAGTAGCCCAATTACACTCATTTATCCACACTCTCAAGGCATATACTAGGGGCCAGAGATGGGCCAGTTCTGGGCTTGATGGATAGGGAAGCAAAGATGAAGTGGACACATTCCATTCCCTCAAAGACCTCCTGATTTAGTAAAATAAATAAGGCATGTGCACAATTAACTATAATACAAGTTGGAAAGGGTAAGTGATTTTGTGAAGGGTGGGGTGTGCCAAGGGGGGTGCATAAAAGACTGAGGCCTAGTATGGATAAGTCTGGCAGGCAGAGCTGGAGCAGGAGCTTTCCAGGAGTGAATGAAAGCGTAGATGCTGTGACCTTTCTCTCCTTGTCAAAACGGACACATCTAACAGGCTCAAAGGTCCCCTCTTCTGGAAACTTTCCTGAGCCCGCCGTTGTGATGAATCACTCCCTCCCTAGCACTTTCTCCTGGTCCAACTTTTAGCTCATTTTGCCTTGTGTGATGGGTTGCATCTCTGCCATCTCATTACATATCAAGTTCCTTTGAGGGTCTGAACAGAATCTGCAGTTTTGTAAATTGCCCTCAGCCCTGGCAGAGTTTTTTACATTTAGCAGAAAGTCAGTCCACATTTGTTGAATTTACAATAGAGGCAAGAAAGAGAACTTGCTAGGAAATGGGAGGTACAGACATCTAACACTGATACAGGAAAGACGAAGGTAGGGGAGTCAGGGATGAAAAGGGTGGGGCCAGAGAAGGTAGTCTGGCCTTTTTTTCCAGCCAGTATTAGGGAGTGTTTGGAGAGAAGTAATGTAAGTAGAGTTGTGCTTGAAAAAGGTGAATCTGCCAGCCACATGTAGAGTGGATTGGAACACATATTGGAGGTGGAGAGGCCAGGTAAGAGGCTGTCGAAATTTTGCACATGAGGAGTAGTGAGATCCCAAACTGGCGCCCTGCCCTTGAGGGCAGAGGTGAATGGCACAAAAGAAAGTGATAGTTAAGGGAGCCATTTTTTCTACTATAGAAATCAGATCAAACAATCTGATGTGTGCCAAGGTTTTTGGGAGGAAAAAGAAAGCAGCTTCAACTCCTAGACTTGCCACGTACTTGCTGTCTGATCAAGGATGTGTCACTGGAAATCTGAGCTCAGTTTCTTCACTTACCAATTAAGGCTAACACTGCCTGCCTCACCAGGTTGTTCTGAGCGTTACATGTGATAATATATGTAACGGTGCCTGCCACTTCATGGGTGCTTAGCATTATGATAGCTGTCATTATCAGCCTCAGAAGTTTAAGGTGTCACACCAGAGTGTATGTAATGTTGTTGTTGTTTTAAATAGACTTTAATTTTTAGAGCCATTTCATAGTTACAGAAAAATTGAGCAGTTGGTACAGAGTTCCTATATACCTCCACTCCTGCACCCATTTCCCCCTATTATTAACATCTTATATTGGTGATACATTTGTTACAATTAATGAACCTATATTGATACATTAATGTTCATTAAAATTTCCTTAATTTTTACCTCCTGTCTTTTTTCTGTTCTAGGATTCCATCCAGGATGCCACATTATATTTAACTGTGTGGATGAAAAAGGGGTCACATACTAAACCTGACAAGCTCAGGGGAGGCCTGCATGGTGGGCCTTACAAACTAACAGACTGAAAGCAACCACATAAGATGATCTGAACATAAAAATTTGCAGCTAATAGCAAGTCATGGCAGATAGTCCTCGGTAGGTATCTTCCTTGACGAAGGTCAATCTTTACCTTAAGTGAGCATGTTTATTGTCTTTTTGCATCTAAGATAACATACTTTGGAATGTCAGAGTCATCCTTTTTTTCCAGGCCCCACAGGCCACAGTCTTCTAGAGCAAGAGACCACAGAAACCCTCACTGTTATCTTATTGCCCAAATACCATCTCTGTGCTATAACTGTTCATTGTTAACTACCCTTTACTCACCAATGTAAAACAAGCACATGTGTCTTTGGTTTACTTTTTATCCAACCTCAGAGATTTTCCTGCTTTGCTCTCTCCCGCCTTTCTAATCTACCACCAATGGATTTCATGTAATCTGGCTTATGTCTTCTCCTTTGATTCTAGCATATAAAATAAGCTGTAAATTACATAAATGTCTAATCACTATGTTGTACACCTGAAACTAACATAATAGTGTATGTCAACTGTAAGTGAAAAATTTTTAAGTTATTAAAAAGATGAAAATAAAAAAAAACAATTAAAATAATAAGTTGCAAAACTGCCATTCTCAGGAGCTTTTTCTCAAGTCATTGAGATGTTGCTTCCCAGAAATTGTCATCAGTTTGGCTCAAATAAACTGTTATAAGACTTTTTCTTAGGCTGGACATTCTTGTGTGGACAGTTGTCATGTCTCCTTAGCAACTCTTGGCTGTGACAGTTTCTTAGACTTCCCTTGTTTTGATATTGCTTTTTTACAATCATCGTAAGGTACATCCGGGGATAAAATAGTCCTCCCTGCCCCCACACCTTACTCCAGTGTCATTTGTTTGAAGGAGGCCAAGGCAGTAGTGGGCCTCAAAGCTACTGCCCCAGAACTGTTTCGTTTGTTTGAGACCTTTGACTTTTGACCCTGGAATATGTGACCTTTTGCAACCAAAATAGTCTAAGTCAAAATAATTGAGCTCACTACACTGTCTGTTCTGTTTCTATAGTCATTCATTCATTTATTCAAGTAATATTTGCTCAGCAACTATTATGTATCTGCAGCAGTGAACAAAACAGGTCAGGCATCTTGCTGTGACTGGAGCCAAATTCCAGTCAAAGAGGCAGATATTATTAAAATTAACAGAGCAATTAAATGTTTATGTAGTGTGATAAGTGCTACAAAGGAGAACAATAGAGATAGGCAATAACAAGAAGAGGGACCCACTTTAGAGAAGGCATTCTAGGAAGCTCATAGCTGAAATGCAAAAGGTAGGAAATGGTATGAGGGTGCTGGAGAGGAAGAGCATTCCTGGCATAGAAAGCAGAACATGCAAAGGCCCTGAGGTGAGAAAGAACTAGTAGGGCACAAGAACTGATACAAGCTAGAGCAGAGTCGAAGTTGGAGAGGTGGGCCTGGACCAAATCAGAATGGGCCTATGGACCAGGCTAAGGAGTTTGAATATTATTAAAAGTGAAATGAAAACATTGATAAGAATAAAGCCAGAGTCCAAAACAGGGTTATTAAGTCTGAAGCCCGTGATCTTTCTGCAGTGTTATAGTGTCCACCCTAAATCCGTAATTCTAAAATTAAAATGGGTTAGATGGGTGGGGGCTGTCCAGAATGGGTAGGCAGGTGGATTAGAAACAGACTGCTCTAGATAGTAGAAAAGGAATGGTCAGTGAGGGGATTATTGACTTAGTGAATGAGATAAATAAGCTAAAAATAGGTTGACTAATGTTTGTGCATTTCCTGTTTATTTTTATATTTCTGGTGTCGGCAACTGGGGAATTTGGGTTTTTTTCAGAAAGGAAAAGGAAAATGAAATTGAAATGGAAAAACATTGCAGGGTATTTGCCAGGAAGTGATGTGTCAGATGTGGAAGAACACTGCTGCAGCTGTGTGGGCTGGGTGGAAGGAGCAAGAGTGACAGGGAGAGGCTGGTTAGGGGGCTGCTGCAGTGGTCCATCCTGCTTGAGCAGGATTTATGGTCTGCAGCCTCACAAGAAGCAACTTTGAATTTATTGTATAAAGATGTTTTTCAGATCCGTGAAGATGGACGACATCATCTATGGAGAGGGGTATAACAAATTACCACACATTTGGTGGCACACTTTTATTCTCTCTAAACTCGGGAAGTCTGAAATCAGTTTCACTGGAGTACAATCAAGATGTCAGAGAGCCATGCTCCCTCCTATGGTGAAAAATTTGTTCCCTTGCCTTTTCCAGCATTTAAGGCAGCATTCCTTGGCTTGTAGTCCCTTTCTCCATCCCAAAAGCCAGCAGGGAAGAATTTTGCGTCACAATGCCTTCCTCTGTAATCAGATCTCTCTCTGCCTTTCGTTTAGAAGGACACTTGTGATTACACTTACAGCCAATGTGGGTAATCCAGTATCCACTTCTCATACTAACACATTGCAGACCAGTAGTTTTATTGCTAGCTTTACCCAGTGTCCAGATAAGTTTCTATTGAATGAGTACAAAAAAGTTTTACATAAATGTTAAAGGCACACTTTAAAATCAAATACCCATTGTATTTTGAAGTTATTTATTACATGTTCTTAAAAGCTAATATCTTTTTAAAGAAATCTCGTGATTGGCCACAAGCCTTAGCACAGAAAACACGATAATTCTTGTGATCCGTCTGCAATGTGTTAAGATCTTTAACTTGCTCAAAACTGTAAAGTCCTTTTTTTTCCCATATAAAGTAACATTCACAGGTTTGGGAATTAGGACAAAAATCTTTGGGGACATTAGTCTACCCCAGAGAGCATAAGAGAGAAAAGGTGCTAGTGTCAGACCCCGAGGCATGCTGACATTGAGGTCCGAGAAAGGACAGGTAACTAGCAAAAGAGACTGAGAAGGAATAGCAGTTGAGGAAGATGGAAGGCTGGCAGTGATTCATGTTGCAGAACCAAGAAACTAGAAGATGTTTAGAAGGAAGGAGCTCTCAATTGTTGCTGAGAGGTTGAGTAAGATAAAGATGGGCAAGAAAGCAGTAGAAATGGCATAATGGTTATTGATTTTGACAACAGCAGATTGGGATGTGGGAAAGAGAGGATTGGGCACCCTGGATTGGAAGCCATTGGAGTGGGTTGAGGAATGCATGGGGTGAGGTGGTACAGGCAGCCAGCATGGACAGTGCTTTAAGTTCTACTGCCAAGGGAACAGAGAAACTGGGCTGAAGGGGTTTATGGAGTTAAGGACAAGGGATCTTGTTTTGCTTTCTTTTGTTGTTGTTAATGCTCACCCCTGGATATTTTTCCATTGATTTTTAGAGAGAGTGGAAGGGAAGGGGAGAGATAGAGAGAGAGAAACATTGATGGGAGAAAGACATATCGGATTGGTTGCCTCCCACATGCATGCCCGGGGCTGGGGATGGAGCCTGCAGCTGAGTTACTTGCCCTTGACTAAAAGCAAACCTGGGACCCTTTGGTTCAAGGGCCAACGCTCTATCCACTGAGCCAAACTGGCTCAGGCAATTTTGCTTTCTATTGTTAATGGTGGGTATTGATGATGACTGCATGCAGGAGGAAAAACGGGTAACTGAGGGAATGAGTCCTTGAGAAAGCAAGAAGGGACGAGGTTCAGAGCCGAGTGAGAGACTTAGCCCTGCCAGGAGCAGGAACAGTTCCTCTATTGTAACTGGAGGAAAAGATGTGTGTGATGTGGTTGATTTTTCTCAAAGGAGTGAGGCTGAGGATGAAGAAGTGTGGTAACGTTTGAGGAAACAAAGGTTGGGGAGTATCATATTACTTGTGGAGATAAATTGGTGTTTCATTTCCTTTAGCACGTATAACTGGGATAGCTGCTGAATATCTAAAATATATTCTCCTTTAACTACTCCCCTTCCCAGGTTTAATGATAGGTAACTTTTAGTTAAAAGACAAACAAACATGCAAATAGCCATCTTATGTGAAACTTTATTAAAAAGAGAAATGGTATAATCAAACTACTGTGTGGTTTCATGTTCATTAAAAAAAATAATAAACTAAGAGAAAAGGGAAAAAACTTACAACTATATAATTTGTCGTCTAAGTGAGTTATAAATAAGACATTTCTCATAATCATTATGATGAAATGATGCAGTCTACACCTGTATGAAAACTATAGAGCACCTATTACAAAATCACATTATCAGTGGTTAGCAGGGTGGAGTTCAAACCCCTGCTTGATAGAGCATTCAACCAAACAAGGAACAGAACTATTAGCATTCACATCCTGTCTTAGGTAAAGCTAGCTTCTACCAAATCCCATTTCCCCTCACCAAGATGAAGACAGAAAGTATGAAAGTTCCCTCCACCAGTATTTATTAGATCCTACTCATTCATCTGGACATCCAAGTGATCCATGGCTAGGGCAGATGTTCTACTGTCACTAGTCTGGCATCGGCATTGGCATCACAGAGCAGCTTGCCCTGAACTAAGGGCAATTTCTCAGTCTAGTTGTAATAAACAATATTGCTTTTATTAATCTTACACCTAACCTTTATGCATACAAAGAGTATGGATTGCCTCATAGTGGATTGAGTTTAGTTGTTCAATATGTTATTTTTGCATTTGAGCCTTTGAAAGCTGATTTAATGGTGTAAATAATTGCCACTGGGACTCTCTTTTTCTAGCCTTTCCTTTTTTTCCCCCCCTCTCTCACAAGGGGCTATGTCTTTAAGAGGCATAGAATCACGGATTTTATGAGGTTCCCTTCTCCTCCCAACCAGTCAGCTGCATCACTGAGTTCTTCCTGGTGTTCCTGACATGATGAGACTGTTTTTATTTCCTAGAAGATGGAGACTTGGAAAGAACCCCGAAGTGAATAAAAAATCAGACTCAAGACTCAAGCCCAGACTCGCCTCCTGCAAAGTTTCCTTCCATCTTAGAAGCTCTCTCAAAACTCTCGGAGAGCCCTGACTCACCATGCGAGAACCTAACCCCCTGTTTCAGATTCCAGCCCTCCACTTTCTGAAACACAGATTCAAGTTCTCTAGTTGATTCTTGAAAATACAAACATTGCCATAGAAACAGACGGTAAAAACTAATAACATAAAGTGAGTCATACACATTCAAGTATCTCTATCAGTTTGCATAAAAATAGCACCAATATTTTAAAAATGCGTATAACTTTGCCTTCTGTAACAAATAGTGTGCCAGCTGTTTATATTCAAGTGGAAAAGGCCGGGAGAGCTGGCTAACGCTCTGAAATATTCACTTGGTCAGATTCTATCAGCAGATACTGACAGACATTTCCATGAACTCCTGAGAAAGGTCTTTTCCCTGGAACAGCGAAAGGAAGCATCTTGTTTAACGGGGTTGAGAAACCAGTGCTGTTCCAGTTAGATGTCGGAGGCAGCATAACTTTCCAGAAGCTGTCCATCTGAGAACTTCGACGGTTAGCTAAGGAAGCACTCACTGTCTAATCTAAGAAGTGTGAGAGCTGGAAACGAAAGACATCTTTCAAAGGGAATCCACACTTCAGCAAATGTATTCTGAGAACAGGCCTGTCAGTCACACCCATTCTCCTCTCTCTGTATTTCATACCTGAGGATTACGCACAGCCCATTTAAAAACAAATAACTAAAAGCAAATTGCTTTGACTGTGTTCCCGAGGATGAGCGCCCATCCAGGGTACAGTGTGGACCTTCCTTGGTGAACCATGCCTTGTCCAGTTCCCCTGCGGAGCAAGAGCAGCCGCTCACAGGGCGTCGGTGGGGAGCGCGCAGGACTGCACCGCCTGGTAGGCCACCTGCTTCCGTGCAGAGCGCAGTCTGAGGGACAGGGTCATGGTGACAATCAGGAGGAGGAGTCCAATGATGAACAGGATGACCAAGGCTGCTTTAGCTCCTCTGGGACTCAGATTCTTGCCAAAGAAATAGAGTTGCTCCTTGACAGGCTCTTCTGTGAAAAAGAAAAGTGAGGTGTCAGGCCTCTGCCTTTCCGTGGAGCGTGAGACTGACCATTCCCACGCAGGGGTCAGGGAGGGGTCCTTACCGTGGGAGGGCGCGGTGGTGGCTGGATGGGAGGCTCCTCCAGAAGGAGACTTGGTGGAGTAAGGAATCCTGTTGTCTGGACAAAGAAGGCAAGTTGATTGTTTTATAAACAATAGAAGTAGGTTCTTTTCATGACATGAGTTGTTTCAAGAGTTATTTCCTTTCACCAAATAGAACTTTTCCCCGTCAGTTATCTGTAAGTCTTTCTTGGATTCTCAGTGTTATTCTTCCTTCCACTATACATGTTGTTCCAACCCAGTCACCTTTCAGGCTTCTACCCATCCATTCATACCCGTCGGAAACACGATGGACTCTGTGGAACCTTGGCTCATATCCCCATTGTTGACCCTTGCTTCCTACTGCTGTCACTGAGCCCTGTACTCTGCACTCTGTTTTGGCATGTTTCAGATTCTACTATGGTTACTATTTACATGTCTGTCTCTCTTGCTTAACTCTGAGCTCCTTGGGGGTCTTATGCCTCCTGTTTTCAGGGTCTACAGAAAGCCTATCCCCTGGCATCACTGACAGACAACAGTATACCTATGTTCCGAAGGACTGTATAGGTTGTTTCCATGCCAGCATGGATGTGATCGGATACATGACAGTGTATCAGCCATGTCCCTGGGTGATCTGCAAACAGTTCGATGGTTTGGAATGTCCCAGGAAAGAGGTCATACACATCTTCTCGGTAAGATTTATCTATCTGCAGAAAGAAGGAAATGATAAAGGTAAGAGCAGAAATCAATAAAATCAAGAATAGAAATATAATAGAGATAAAGGAACCAAAAGCTGATTCTCTGAACAGATCAATAAAATTGATAAACTTGTGGTGGCCAGCCTCCACAATGGCCTCCAATAATCCCCACCTCCTGGTAGTCATAACCTTTGTAGTCCCCTCCTACATTGCATGAGAATTGGTCTATGAAACCAATAGCCTATGGCAGAGGTGATGGCATTCTACTTCCAAGAATAGGTTGTAAAAGACAGTGACTTCTGCCATATACCCTCTCTCTTGCTTTCTCCTCTTAGATCGCTCATTCTTGGGGAAACCAGCTCCCATGCCATACCCACATGGTGAGGGACTGAAGCCTGCAGTCAACAGCCCTGTGAGTGAGCTTGGATGTGGATCCTCCAGCCCCAGTCAAGCCAGATGACTGCAGTTCCAGCTGACATCTGGTTGCAGTCTTATGAAAGGTGCTAAATCAGAACCAACTAGCTAAACTGTTCCCAGATTCCTGACCCCGAGAAATTGAGATGAGCAATTATTGTTTTAGGTCACTAAGTTTGGGAGTCATTTGTTATGTAGCAATAGATAACTAATACAAACTTCTAGACAAACTGACCAAGGAGGAAAAAGCAGAAGAAGGAAGACACAAATTGCAAATATCAGGAAGGAAAGAGGGGACATTACTGAGTTTTATAGACATTAAAAAGGATAATAAAGGAATATTGTGAACAACTGGTCATTAATTCTACAACTTAAATGGTATGGACAAAGCCCTTACGGTAAAAGCTGATAATTATCACTATTCAGATGACCTATTAAAGAAACTGAAATTATATTGATACCTTCCATCAAATAAACTCCACATCCATAGGCCTTCATTGGCAAATTTTACCAAATTTTAGAGAAGAAATGATACCAATTCTAAACATAGCTTCCAGAAAATAGAAGAGGAGGGAACACTTTAAACTCATTTTATGAGGCCAGCATTACCCTGATACCAAAACCAAGACAAATAGTTTACATGAAAATAAAGCTACTACCAATATTCTTCGTGAACATAGATGCAAAAACTCTCATCTGAAGCTTGGAGAGGTTTTTTTGTTTGTTTTTGTGGACTTTTTAAGCACAATAAAATATACTTACATATTCAGAAATGTCTACCAGGGGCAGGCTATCACCACATTATTCTGTTCTATTCTCTAATATTGACACCACCACCACCCCCCAAGCTTTATTGCCAAATAAACCTCTTACTTTAGAGTGGAAATGCATTGAATTTATTAGTTCAAAATGTCTCCTCCCCCAAAGCATTTTCCTTATACTTACTTTGAAAAGAAAGCTCTCAGCATGATAATGGATGGTATGTATATCCACTTCACTTCCCATTCCTAACAAATACCAGTTTGTCATTGTATCTTCATTCATGATGAGGCCATGGAGATTCCCAAAAATCTTTCCATTAATAGCTACGATGGTGAAGAGAAAATAGCTTCTGATTAGTGAGGAGACCCTCATTCCTTAATCTGGTTCAAGCCAACCTCTAAGTCACCAATGTTCTCATCTGCCTGATAAAATGGAACAATCTCATTTGCACTTGCCAATGTCCCCACCATTCTAGACCCAAAATTCACATTCCTAAGAAATCCTTATACAAAGATTGCTAAGAAAGAGAATAGCAGTTTGTTTTTGAAAGCTACATCTTGGGTAGCAGGGCGTGCTGTTGGTTTGTTTATTCAGTATAGTCTCTTCGTGGAGTAGATTATAGCCCCATTTGCCAGGTAGCCAGATTCATATCATTCTACAGTTGAGTGGACTAAAGCACAGAGAATCAAGTTCATATAAATCATAATTGAACCAATTAGAAGCTATTTTCTTGATATGTACTTTCTGCGAACTACCTTGGGGCAAGTTTCTAAGCCTGGCTGACTCTCTAAACAGCTTCACACCAGCAGAGCCCATGACCTCATAGGGACTAAAGCAAGCTCAAGGTGGGTTGATGTGATGTGGGACTCTCCTTTACTCTCTGCTATGTTTTTATTCTGTGCATCAGATGAATTAATCCATTAAAAATAGAGAGCATACCAAGAAACTTTTGGGAGAAGGAAGCAAAATGGGTAGGGGAAAGGGTAGCTGAGTCAAAAATCAGGCTAATTCTGATCTACGTTGGCAATTAACCAGCTTTGTGACCTTTGTGGTCTCTTTAGGTATACCTTTGGTCAAAAGTAGATCTTGGTGAGAGAGTACAGATGTGTCAATGAAACCCATTACTCCTGCTTAAAAATAAAACTACCCTAAATTACGTAGAATTAAATAATATAGACATGTTAAAACAGAAATTTGGTGATGGTATTTTATGTCCCAAAAACAGTTCAAGCAGGCCCTTAAATTTGATCAATTAAAAGTTATGATGTATTCTTATAGAAATATACGAATAAGTGCTGATTCACTTTTAAATAATTATTTCATAGTCTTAAAATTTAGGGATCCCAGCATTCAGAGGTAGAGCTCCCTAAAACAGTTGGTCCACAGCCTGGCTGGACCTTGCTGGCAGCCATCCAATGACTTGACTGGTTCCCTGTGAAGGAAAGCTTTAGAGGACTTGCTTCCATCCAGGAGCACCTGGGGGTGGGGAAGGGCTCAGAGAAGGAGGCAGGGGACCTCCTACAGTTACAGGAATTTCTATGAGCTTATCTCACCAAAGGTCTTCTTTTTTAATCTCTGATATACCATGCATTCTGTTGCTCTCCTCAAAATCATCAGTGCGCTTAAAATCTCGTGGATCTTTATTGAGATACTTCTTAATATTGTCGTCCAGATACCAAGATTCATTCTCATCAAATATCAAAAACAAGAGAGCAAATTCATAATCAACATCGCTTCTTCTTCCTTTTTCATTCAACACGCCTTCTCTGCATATAATCAGAGGGCCCATCAAACCACTATATGTATCCTGAAAGAAAATAAAACTGAGTAGAAGAGCCTTTAAATAATTTAATGATACCGATTAAGTGCTTGTAACAAAGTCATTTTCTTACAAGAAAGTTATTTCTCTATTTCTGTTAACAGTGCTATGATATTACCTGTCATTTAGATCAGATAACTTTATTTCAGTGTTTAATTCCTCTTTCTTCCTCAGATGGTCCCGTTTCATTTGCCGTCAAACCTGACATTTCTTTTCCCTCACCATGTCTCTCCATTCTGCGACTTCCTTTCCATTCCATCTGCCATCCTTCTAGTGTAGGACCTTAATACCTCACCCTGGGCTAGAAATCGGCCCCTCTCTGGTCTCTGGCTCACTCACCTCCAGCCCACGCTGCGGACTGCCATCAGATTAATCTCATCATTCCCATATCTAGGAGTCCTCAGTGAATCTCCGTGACCTACTGAATAGAATGTTAATCCTCCACAGGTCCTTGAACCCCTCAGGAGCTCCCCCAATGGATTTCTCTAGCTTACGCTCCTCCACTGCTTTCTTTTCCTATTACCCATTTGGCCAAATGGGACTCTCAGCATTTCCCAAACACACTGACTTTCCTGTTTTCAGCTTTCCTCACAATGCTCTCTCTTCCTAGACTCTCTTTCCCCTACACTCCTATAGAACGCACCAGATTCAGAATTTTGTTATAATTATGAGAGTGCATATATATTATTTTCCTCAAAGAGTTTAAGTCCTTCAAGACAAGAATGTTTGCATAGCTCATAGTACAAGTGCTCAATAAATATTTTGGGGGATGTACAAAGAAATAAATGAATAAGTGTACATTTCCCATAATTCCAAAATATAAGTTTAATTTTTGAATTGTCTTGAATGTCACCCTGTAACTCCTGCACTGTCCAGTACAACTCAAGGACAATAATGCAACCATCTAATATTTAAGAGGAAGGTTAAGAGAATCTTTTACTTTTTAAACAATGGGCACTACTTAAATTTTATATCATACTAGAGGCCCAGTGCACGAAACTCCTACATGTGTAGGGTCCCTAGGCCTGGCAGATCCGGGCCTTCCGGCTGCTGGCAGGGGCCTTCCTTTATTCTGTGCCGCCCCCTGGTGGTCAGCACATGTCATAGCGAGCGAGCGAACTCCCGGTCTCCCGGTCGAACTCCCGAGGGGACACTTTGCATATTAGCCTTTTATATAGAGAGATGTGATTTTAGTTTGGACTTTCATTTATGACATATTATTAAAGACTAGTTGTTTTACCATATACCTCTCCGACTCAATTAATAGTGAATCTTGCCTTTCATTTCTATAGAAAGTTAGTCTATTTATTATTCAAATAGTTTGTAATTTCAGTTATTATGTTTGGCATGTGTTTTCTTTTCCTGAATCCCGATAGCAGTGGCGATGCCTTTAAAAATGGTAGATTCCACACATTGAAAGCCATGGTATAAATTATATTTAAAATATTTTTATTTTATGGCTACCTATTTACATAAACTACCTTGTAAAATCTAAATGTGATAACTGAACCATTGGGATTTGATTTGATCTTTTCCCCCATACTTCAGATTAAGAGTCAACTAACTTATATTCTGCAAAGCACCAGGTAATGAATATTTTTAACTTTGTTGGCCATACTGTTTCTTTCACAACTACTCAATTCAATCATAGAGAATGTAAACAAATAGCCATAGTTTGAGACCCCTGCTCTAAACCATGATACCCTTCACATATACCCACCAGAATTGTGATAACTTATAGTCAACTTAAAGCCATATTACTGTGAGCACTTTGGTTGCTCTCTCCATCTTACCTTCACAAAGTTTACTGTTGAATAGTAAACCCATGGAATACAATTTGGGTCAGATGGCCCTGGACCTGACCTTTTAGGGACATTCCATATGTAAGTTTTTACTTCTCCTGAAACAAATGAGAAGAAATAGAAAGGATTTACTAGTGTTACCTCTTATTCCAGGCGATTTAGCTGGAGAAGTAATACAAACAGATCTTTATATATTTTGGTTGATGCTCCTTGCTAGGGAGAAGTACCCATTCATTAGAAATGTTCCCATTAAACTTACATCTTGATTTTCTGCAGTTTCATAGTGGCCGATATTTCATTTCAGACTAGAGCTTCCCCTCTAGTTTGCTCTTTCTATTATCAATTAATGTTTATTTAGGAAATGAAGACTTATTTTATACTTCACTGCTTTCCCCCCTCAAATGTCATGTCTCTCTCCCAAGAGCTACGCTCAAGCTCACTTGAATTACCATGGATTTCAGCCTTGGCTTCCTATGGAATAACCAGGAAGCTTTGTGAACCCTCACTGCTCAGGCCTCATCCCAAACCAATGAAATTAGAATGTGGGGGGTCTGGGACTAGGGTATTTTTTTTTAAGCTTCTCAGGTGATTTTAATGTGCAAACAGGTGAGATCTAGTTAGAACCAGAGAGATCTAGTTCCAAATCTCAACCCCATGATTTCCTACTTACCCAACCTTTGACACACTACTTAACCTCCCTGAACTTTAGTTTCCTTACTGTAGGGAGCACTATAGGGTTAAGCTCTGACTGACCTGTTGGCAAAGCCACAAACAAGTCCCAGCTTAGAGGGCACAGCCCTCTTAGCATAATTAGGCTTGACCTTATGACCTCCTTAGATCATATCTGGGTAGCTAATGGGCTGTGGGAGGTACAGCAAGTGCTGCCAAAACAAGTGAAACTCACAAGAACATTGTAACTATGGTGACCACTACCTTGTTTACCTCTGGCTATAAAATAAAGGCTCAGCTTGCCCTCTGGATCTCTCTCTCTGTGTCCTTAGCCAGGCACAAGAGATCCACCTAGACTCAGCTTATTCTCTTTGTCTACCTTTCCTACATCCTTCGCCACCCCACTCAGGCTCACCGAACCCTTGGCTGTGCTGGCATGGCACACCTGACTTATTAAGTGGGGTAGTTATCCAGTCTTCAGACAGTTGTGAGGATGAAATGAAGTAAAATACCTAGCATAGTGCCTCACATTGAAGGCAGTCAATACATGTTAATTTCTATCTATACTAATAACAAATGTGTGCACTGCCTGTTGCTAGGCACCATATCTGTGCAACCCCCTGTGGCCAATCCAGAGCCTTGCAGAGGAGTCATAAATATACTCATGAATTAGCAAGATAATCCCATTGTAAAAGTCTCAAATAAAAGCCACCTTTAAGTCACTATCTCCTTTTGAACTGTGTCCCACCCCCCCACATCAGAACAAATAACCTATAGCTGAATGTGAGCCACAAAACAAAAGTACTGCTTACATGTAACTTTGCTCCATAAGTGCTCATACACCAGTGGGTTAGCAATATGACTTTAGGTCTAATTTCCATTAAGTTTAGTATAGCCTCCATGCCTTGTTAATCACAAGATAAAAACGCTGATATTTAGCTTCCTAAATGCAAGTGGCTACTGGTGTGGTATGATTAAAGTTGGAACCATCCAGCAGAGAGCACAGCCTTAAATAAAAAGAAGCTGCTCCGTAAATGTTTTCTGAGTCATTTAATTTTGAAAGAGAAGATAGGGGCTGCTTAGTTTTCTTACGATGCTGGTCTCCTTATCTCAGGCATGCCCAGATTACTCTTCTCCAGCTTGCCTGGACTTCCTGCCCACAGTTAGTTTCTTGCTCCTGCCCTCATCTCTGGGCTCTCCCATACCTTTCCGCCTGTCAGACCCTTGTGGGGATTCTCGCTCTCTGATTTCTGGTTGGAAAAATGCCCCTTTGTCACTTTCTAATCATTCTTCTCCCCACTCCCATAACCTCACATCGAGGACTCTTGGAAAGCCAGCCAGCATAGAGGAGCTGTGTCCCTTGCACGTCCTCACCATTAGGGCACAACAGCCTGCAAAAGGTCACCCCAACTTGTCCACAGCCCTCCCAGAGTCCCATCAATGCCTGATTGGCACCTTTCTTTCTCCCCCTCTCCCCCGGAGATGCTTTCAACCATCAAAAATGAATAACTAAATGGCTTTTTGACCCATTTTAAAACATGTCCCTCTTCACCTAAGTAAGACACATTCATTATAGAAAATCTAAAAAGTACAGTAAAATGTGAAGAAGTAGAAAAAAGCATCACTCTGCTACTCAAGTACCATCACGAAGATTTAACCTTTATTAACATTTTGGCTTATTTCCCTCGGGCCTTCCCATTATACTTGTATTTTGCTTAATATGATACCACCAGTGTTTCCCATGTCATTCAAGCTGTCTTAAATTTCATTTAATGGCTGCATAATAGTCCATCGTAAGGATATTCCAAAATTTACTTAACTGTTTTCCTATAGATAGACATTTAGGATGTTCATGAGAAGCTTTTTGAAGCCGCAAAATACAGGCTTCTGTTACTGGGGATGGGGTGGAGTGGGGTGTGGCAGAAGAATATCAGCCAATGATGATTTTCCTTTCCCCAGCTGCATACTTGTATAGGTACCTTGCTGATGTTTCTAGCGATGCATGAGATTGTTTTGTTTTCTCCTTTTTATGCGTTTTTACTTTTTTTAAAGTTCATATGACTTTTATTATAATTACTATAGTATTAAGTATTATAATTTTACTATACAGAAGAGGTAAAAAGAAATATAACCACCCTGTGATTATACAATTATACTGATGGTTGCTGTCAATTTCATAACTGAAGGTCACAGTAGCTCTTCACATTTATTACAACCACACTTCAACTGTGTAAATGTTATGGGAAGCTGCTTAAATTATGAGATTTTTCTCTCCCTTCGGGGATCTATCATCTATCTATCTATCTATCTATCTATCTATCTATCTATCTATCTATTTTAGAGAGGAAGGAAGAGAGAGAAATATACATGATGAGAATCATTGAATCATTGATCAACTGCCTCCTGCATGCTCTCTACTGGGGTTGAGCCAACAATGCAGGCATGTAGCCTGACGGGGAACCAAACCATGACCAACTGATTCATAGGTTGATGCTCAACCATTGAGCAACGCCAGCTGGGTTTGGTTTATCTTTTAAACCCAACTGGAATTCTACCTCCTATATAAAACTTTACCTAATTACTCCTTTTCCTAATTGTTTCTAAGTAATCAATCAGTCTTCATGAATCTTCCTTCTCTGGAACTTTTATAAACACACCCAGCCATATTCTTAAAATTCTTCACTACTTAGAATTTCATCATGTGTAACCCACACTACTACTGAAATGATTGATCTTATTTGCTTTTTTCTCCCAAACTCATTTGAAGCATCTTTAGAGAGCTATGTGGTTAAGAGGTCAGGTTCTAATATCAAACAAACTGGGGTTCCCCTCATTACTAATGTATGACTTAGTCAAGTTCTTTACTCCTTTGTGCTTTTGGCATTTGTTAAATGGACATAATACCATATTTCATCAATTATAGGATAAACATTTTTCACAATTTAATATAACTGAAGTCAGGATGTGTTTTCAAAATCAGTGGCATGTTAAAGTTTAATTGGCAGCATGTCTTTTTCTTTTTAAGAAACAGAATAAATAATGATGGACATTCTAATCAATGGTACCAGATTTAATGACCTATTGTTAGTGTCTACCTCACTGGGTTATTAGAAGGGTAAATTAGTGTGTGTGTTTTTTAATATATAAAGCATGGCACAAGGTTAACATTCAATATGTGTTAGCTATTATCATGTCTTACTACATATTTAGGTCCCTAATGGACCTTAGGACCTCCATAAACATTTGGTCATTGGATGAATGATGATCTCATATTGGGAGTGACTACATGATGGCTGGAATGCATTAACATTAAAATGAGATCAGAAATGATCAGAAAAGAGTTGAGTCTGGTGTCCTCATCAGGATGAGCAGACCTCTGGGGTAACTTACCTGGCTTTGTCATGGACACTTGGAGTCGCTTCCCACTCTCCGTGTTCTCCACACCATGGGCTGAGATGGAGTAGGGCCGATCTGCTTTGTTCTTAAATATGATCAGGATAGAGTCACCCACCTCGGCATGTATCATTGGGCCTAAAGGCAAAACACAGGTCTGTGTGCATTATTGTTGCTCTTTCAACACTGAAGTAATTTAAATATAGGTAGTATTTGGCAAAATAAAATAAATATTAGCTTCTTCATTAGTGTATTTCCTTTAGAGGGCCATATATATAGTATTAAATAGCATGTAGTTTTGGCAATTGGACCAATTTGGGCCCAAATCCTGCCTCCTTCACTTATTAGAGAGGCCTTATAGTCAAGGCCTGCCTGAATCTCAACTTCTTCTTCTATAAGATGGGTTTAATGATGTTTTTATTATAGGATTAAATAAGTTACTGCATGTAAAGTGCTTATTTCAGTGCACTGAAACACAATAATAAATGCTTAAATTTCTACTACTGCTTAGACATAATCTCCAGGAAAAGCCATATCCACGAAATGAAGACTTTCAGTTGTAATCTCCCTGTGTGCAACTTTTGTTAAGTCTGAAATTGCTCACTATCTGGTAAATGGATGTAATAATAATTATTATAAATAATGATACAGTGAAGTTATATGTATAAAAGGGATTTGAAAGATAAGGACAAAATGTAAATTTATATATTGATTTATGATCAATACAGTGATTTCACTAATGTATGTCCAACGCTGTTTCTCAATATTTGAATAGCTGAGATGCGCTCACTTCGGTCCTCATTTATACAAATTTCTGTTAGAAGCAACCAGCCTGTGTGCCAATGGAAAGCAGGGGAAGCCTGTGCCAGCATGACTATGGGATGCCATCGCCCATGCCAGGTGCCTTTTACCTCTTAGTGCCCAGAATGTGGCCCAGGCAGTTTGCCCAGCCCCCAACCACACTGACAGAGCATTACACACAGTGGCATTCTTGAGGCACCGCTTTGATGGGGATGGAAACAGACTCCCATTTTGGAAGCACCTGAGACCAGTTCCCTATTTATTCACATTCTTGGGCATTTATTGAATTTTACATTCATGGGGAGAAATGCTCATGAAAGGAAGGTCTGACCACACCTATCCATTCATTACTGATTCAGACCATGGTTTTAATTGATTTTCTGAGAAAGACCTAAAAAAAGAAAAATCTAACATTTGTTGGACTATTATTATCTTTGGAAGGAAATAGTGTGAATTAGGAAGTGTCTGAAAAAATGATAAAGCTAGAAAAGACATTTCTAAGCATGTTGTTTTTAAACAGTAAGTTTGGTATAATTACAAGTAGGGCATGTGTATGCCTAAATTAAAATCACTATTTGTATATTCATTACCACTTAAATTGCACAGGTTTGCTGCACTGGTAACAGTGAATGCTTTTGGATGTGTGGCCTGGTAGGTCACAGGGAGCAGTAATGAGCAGTACTGTGCCTGCCTTGTGCCTTTTGTAACTTCAGGAGGCAGGCCTCTCTCTGAGCTGCAGAAAAGGAGTAGATGGGCCTCCTGTTCCTCTGGCTGAAGTGCTGCAAGGACTTGCCTCTGAGGGAGTCATCGTTTGTGTCATTTTACTGAGCAGAACCAACCCGGGGCTCTCTGAGGGGCAACCCAGCTCCCTTGGCAGGTCCAGCACCTTTTCTTCAGAGCTCAGTTGACACACACAAGTCTCAAAAGAAGAAACGCTGCCACCAGGGCTGACTTCATTCAGTGCGACAAACAAGCTTGTGTGCCAATATCAATAGGTGGTGAAGGTGTGGTGTGGCTGGGTGGGGCATTTGATCATTTATTGAGCTAGCAGTCGTGGGCCCTTATTTTGATATTAAAAAGCACTACGTAAAGTCATGTTATGCACATAAGTTACCATGTGCATTTAAAAATGGGAATGGGTTTCAGAAAGTCATCTAGATTAGTCCTCTACCTTGAGATCACATCTTCACGATGGGATCAGGTTTGGGGATTCTCAGGTGGAAAAAGGAAGGAAGGGAGGGAGGTTTAACTTGTTCACAGGGTCAGGCAGCCCCAGGTGTCAGCCAGGCAGAGTGGATCTAAGGCCATGACCCAAATGGAAACCAGGCCTTTCACCCTGAGCACCCCTCTCCCACAAGGGCTTCCTCTTTTGTCAGAATTATTTTCATGTGTGTTGTTATGGCCTCGTGCATGGGTAATCGAGGACCCTGAAGAAGTTATGCCAGCGCTCTGTCCATCTGACTATGCGTTGGATGGGCTGAGCACACAGCATGCTCCCTGAAAGTGGGAGGGCAGGAAGAGGTTGCACGCGGCTGAATGAAGGCAGGCTACTCTGTTCCTTCCCTTCGTTCTCAGGTGTAAATCTAAGGGACGTGTGTGTGTGTGTGTGTGTGTGTGTGTGTGTGTGTGTGTGTGCGTGCGCGTGCCCATGCGCCATACCCAGCAGTTCTAAGTGCTCCTCTCGAGGTGGCCGGGCTTTGATCTCGACAAATTCTCCATCGGTGTATTCCCTGTAAACCACCTTCTTGTACTGAGAGCCAATCCAGTTTTCAGTGTGGTTCATAAATATATCTCCATGTCTGCAAACCAGAAGCAGCAGAAATTAAAGTTGTTAGACAGTAGAAAAATCTGAGTGCTTCTGAGTGATGCGGGGCACTCTGGGGCAGTACTGCCCCAACCTCGCTGCGATTAGGATCTCCCCGGGGAGCTGGCCTTTGCGCCAAGCTGTTGGGGAGTGGGGCAAGGAGTCCGCATTCGAAAGTACTCAGCGGGTACTGCTGCAAGCAGCTCAGCACTGGCTCATGGCTTGCTCTTGGGAGCCATTACTCTAAAGCCCGGCTGGGTGCTGAGTAAGGGCTGGTCTCAGTTAGAGACGCCCAAGGGCCCCTTGGGGTTGGAATTTCCTTCTGGGTAGTAACCACCTCACACACATGCCCATGCGTGCAAACACCCACACGCCCACATTGCTCCAGATTTCATGTTATCATTCTGTTCATTGGTTTGCTTTCCCACTTTGAAAGATCTCAAGAAAGCCTGTGGTTTGGGCATATGCCAATGTACAAATACAGATACAGTTGGTTCTCGTTAATCACAGTAGTTACGTTCTAGAAAGTCACCACAAACACTGAGTTAACTGACCTACGTTCCCCGGGGAAATACAGGGCTGGGTTCCACTTCACCTTTGGCCACAATATTTCCATTAACAGATCAATATAGAACCTTGCTTTACACATGTTTCTGTTTAAACACATCTTAGTTAATATATACTTCTGATTCATCAACATTGAATTCACAGCTAACAGTCCTGTAACGCAGGCCTGAATGAAGCTTGTCTAACACAAATATTTCCTCTGTAAGGCCTCTTGGGCATTCAGATACTGTTGGGGGAAATTTTAAACAGCTAAATCACCAATAAAAAGCATAAAACTGAAAAAAAAAGTGTTGCTAAATAAATGACAAATAGAACATTGGTTTACAGCATGAGATTGGAGACAAGAAGGCAGAGAGAGGCCTTGCTTGACATGAATATCAGGGGACACAAAATTATTGCTGCCTTACGCATATCTGCAAATGTTCACAAAAGCACCACAAGAATGTATTTGGGGGTCACAAATAAATTTTAGTGAACAGGCGAAGTCGTGAATGTGGAACCCACCAATAATGAAGACTGACTGTATACTTAATCTATCACCAAGCTAGACCATCACAGAAGATTTTAAAAAATCTATCAATTTTATCTCTAAACTATGGCGATACATGAAACTGCCCACACTTTAATCTAAGCCACCTGCATTAACTGGAATTGTTCCTAACCATCCTCCTGCCGACTACACTCCTCCCATTCCTCTATGCTCTACACTGCAGACAGTGATCCTAAACAATAAATTCAACCACGTCGGTCCTTGTGGAAAGCCTTATTATGGCTTCCCACTGCCAAACTCTTTGAATTGGCTCTCATGCCACCACTTCACTATCTGCCTCTGACAGCCTCCCAAGCCTTATTTCCCATCACTGGCCCCCACATACTCTATGCTCAGGTCATTCTTAACACTCACTCTTTAAAAAAAAGGAAAGTTTCTATTGAGAGAGAGAGGAAGGGAGAGGGAGAGGGAGAGAAACCTTGATTGGTTGCCTCATGCATGCCCCCTATGGGGCTCAAGCTCAAAACCTGATCCAACCGGGAATCGAACCAGCTACCTCTTTGTGCATGGGACCGTGCTCAACCAACTTAGCCACACCCATCAGGGCTAAACATTCACTCTCTTGAACACCACATGCCCTCTCCACCTCCAGGCCTCCCGTGTGCTGTTCCCTGTGCCAAGAGTGCAGCTTCTACCTCTTCAATTTGTTTACTCCTCATGTTCCTGGTCAAAGATTTCTTCCTCCCAGAAGCTTTCCCCAACCACTTAACCGATTTCTGTCTTTCCCCCAGAAGGGGCTGTGTGCTCCTGTTATGAGTTCTGGCTGCACCCTGCACTTCCCTCTCATAGTGATTGCCTCACTCAATGTGCTTGTCCAACTCAGGTGTTGAGTGTACTTGCACTCTGCCCCTGCCACTCTGGATTATTGTGAACAAATAAATAGATAAAAGCAAAGTAAAATGAGAGCATGCTCACATGTTCAAAGTATAACCAATCTGTAGGTAAAATAACAGTACAGAAATGAAACAAGTTCCCCTAGTGGGACATCTGTGGTACCCTGTCAATAGGAGCCCAGGAACAAAGGCCCCTTCTATACCCCAGTTGCTATTCCTCTGTCCTTTGACCCAAGGCCATCGCATGGGACACATCTGTTTTTTTAAGCCCCCCCATGGACCATCAAGTCTGTGTGAGAAGGGCCTTGTCTGCCCTTGGACCATCAAGTCTGTGTGAGAAGGGCCTTGTCTGCCCTTCTCAGCACTGTTTCGCCAGCACTTTGCACAATGCCTAGCACACAGTAGGTATTTAACAAACGCACATATACCTTCTACCCTACACTGTATGCTTTCCAAGGGAAGGAACTTTTCTTCTGCTTTTATTTTCCAGGTGTCACAGTAACGCTTGTGGTAGTGACAAGTACAGACTCTGGAGCCACGCTCTGCTGTTTTCAGCTTTCCTTTTCCTGCAAATGAGGTGATAATAATGTGTCTCGCTCCCAGGATTGGCGTGAGGATTATATGAGATAAGATCTGTAATGCACTGAGCCTGACACTTATTAAGCACCATGTAAGCACTTGCTCTATCATTATCTCTTTAGGATGTCCTGTGTGGTGCTGAGTCAAAGCTAATCACGTGTGTTGTGAGGGTCATACCAGGTAGTTTGTAAAAGCCCTAGCAAAATGCTTGGATCCCGGTGGGTGCTCAATAGATGGAGGTTATTATCTTGAATCCCAGGTTAGTTACATTATCTGCATGTCAGTCAGGAATACTAGGAATTCAACTTTATTTCTCTATAGCAACTGAACTTCTGTTTTCAAATTCTCTCCCACTGCACAAACCCTGGCATTGTGCTGATGGCCCCATTTTTGCCTTTTGGGACCCAAAGCTCCCCCAGTATGATCTTTGCAAGCCTCAGGGAAAGACTTCCTGTACCCAGTGGTGGCTTAAAAAAACAGATGTGTCCCATGCGATGGCCTTGGGTCAAAGGACAGAGGAATAGCAACTGGGGTATAGAAGGGGCCTTTGTTCCTGGGCTCCTATTGACAGGGTACCACAGATGTCCCACTAGGGGAACTTGTTTCATTTCTGTACTGTTATTTTACCTACAGATTGGTTATACTTTGAACATGTGAGCATGCTCTCATTTTACTTTGCTTTTATCTATTTATTTGTTCACAATAATCCAGAGTGGCAGGGGCAGAGTGCAAGTACACTCAACACCTGCTATCCTTCTGTATAACTGCGGAGACAATCCCAGAGGACTGAACCTAGAACTTCCTCCCAGCCCAGAGGGATGAGGGGTGAGGGCGGGGGACTTAATACCGAAATTACACTGAGTTTCCAGAAAATAAGGAAGGCTATGTATCTTACACACTCATGAGCTAAAATTGTACATGCAACAAAATTATTTCTTTAGTTATGGCAGCCTTGTAAAGGAATAATCATTTTAGAAAAGGCCAAATTAGTATTAATTCCTATTCCATTGCACTGACATCAGTTCTTAACTTGTATTGGCAGCACTGGGTTTGTAGGAGAGGGGTGTCTGGTTTAAAAAATGGGTTGGTGAATAATTGAATGAATTTTAAGTCGTCTTGTCCCCGAGGCAAATCTTTTAAAAGTGTGGATTCATTTTGTTTCTTCAGTTATCCATAAGGTGGCACTGTTATATTCTCTTTTCCAGGAATCTGAACCCTCAAAACAGAGGTCAACAAGGTAGAAGAGATACAAACCTATTGGGTCAGGAACAGCTGTGTGTAGAGGAGTTTGTGTGTGGCATAGCCATAAAGGATAAGTATGAGGAGTGTGGAGGGGAGGGGAGAAGGAAGGATGATAATAAAGAACCAAGAGGACAGGGGCACCGAAGTCAACATGTCCTGGTATTTGTCCTTCAAAAGGTCTGTGTTCAATTCCAGCTCTGCCAATGACCAGTTGGGCGATTTTAGCTCTCTGCATGGAAATCTCTGAGTCTGTCTATGGGGGACAGTGATATCCAAACAGAGGGAAGTTGAGAAGTGGGGGGAGATGAACTTTTGGGGGAGGAAGTCTGCAGGTCTGAGCCTGACAGATGCCTCTACCAGCCGTGGGCAAACTACGGCCCGCGGGGCCGGATTCAGCCCGTTTGAAATGAATAAAACTAAAAAAAAAAGGACCGGACCCTTTTATGTAATGATGTTTACTTTGAATTTATATTAGTTCACACAAACACTCCATCCATGCTTTTGTTCCGGCCCTCCAGTCCAGTTTAAGAACCCTTTGTGGCCCTCCAGTCAAAAAGTTTGCCCACCCCTGCTTGTCTGACTCTACCGCAGTGCATCCTGGGGGCTTAGGAGGACTAGGGCTCACTAGCCAGCAGGGACTTGAGCCTCGCTGATTAGTTGCTGCTTAGCATGGCTGACAGCGCTTTCATGCGAAGATCAGTCTTGCTGACTTCCTGGGTGCAGGGCCCTGTAGAGAGGAGACCTGTTCCTCCTATCTCAAATGGCATTTCTGCCTGCTGCTGGGTTGTCTCCCACCCAGATCAGCACTTGGTCAGTGGCCCACCCTCTGGCCCCCTTCCTCGCGGTCCTCAATCTACCGCAGTCCATCCTCTCACCAGGGTCTACACCCTCTCTGCCGCCTGCTTCACCTTCTGTCTTCTCAGTCCCACGATCACTGGGATCTGCCTCCTCCCTTAAACCCTTTCGCTCTAGATTAGTGATTCTCAACCTTCCTAATGCTGCAACCCTTTAATACAGTTCCTCATGTTGTGATGACCCCTAATTTCATTGTTACAAACTGAACATAATTAAAGCATAGTGATTAATCATAAAAAATATATGTGTTTTCCAATGGTCTTAGGCGACCCCTGTGAAAGGGTCATTCGACCCCCAAAGGGGTCGGGACCCACAGGTTGAGAACCACTGTTCTAGACGCTCACTCAAAGTCACTTTCATTCGTCATAGCCACATGTGGACCAGCCACTGCTGGTGGAGGTGTACTGAGCCCGCCCACAAGGGCCCTCAAAATGACCTCAGGTCCCCTTCTTGGGATGGAGACAGGCAGCTTCCTTCCCCTTTTGTGCTCACAGTAAAAGTCTCTGCCAGAACTGTGCAGGCAAAACTGGGGCATTCTTAGGTTTCCACATTTGAAAACTGTCTACGGCGCATGTGCAATCCCACCCAAGAGACCTGGCGGCTTCGCCCGTGGTACCTTTCCCCTCCTGCGTCCAAGTGCTGCTTTTCGAACTCCCAGTTTTTGTTAGGGGCATAATCCCATTCTACCTCTTCAGCGGCGATGTAAAAGGTTCTTATCATCCCGTACGGCTGCTCTGAAGGGTCCTTGTTGCCGCAGCTGTTGACCTCGTATATCTGATTCATGCCTCTCGTGAAGTGGTGCATGGTGGAACAAAACACCCTGAAAATACCTGGAAGAGAAACGGCTCGGCATTTGGTATGATGGTCGATTGTGGTTTTTGTTGTTGTTCTTGGTGTGGGTTTGCTAGCAAACATATTTTATCCCAAAATAAATAACTGGGAAGGTACATTTTTTAAAAAACGTCACCTTTATGTAGTATTTCAAAATCATACCCCCAAGGGGGAAAACATTACTTGGAATATATTTACTTATGGGAGGAAAATACCATCTGAAATTCACTTGCAATCCTATCTAATAAAGAGGGAATGTGCAAATCGACTGTCACGCCATCACAAAGATGGCAGAGCCCATAGCCCCAAGATGGAGGCGCCCAGTCCCCTCAGCCCTGCTGGAACCTCCAGTCCTTTCAGCCCTGCTGGGGGGAGGGGGGAAGGGAGGGTGAGGTAGATGCATGGTGCAGCCAGACCCGCCCTCAGCCCCCCAGCTGCCTACAGCTGGCCCAAGGTGCAGGCAGGCCTCAGATAGCGGCTGCCCAGCTGCTTCGAATGGGTCCGAGGTGCAGGCAAGCCTTGATGGTGGCTGTCCAGCCACCCAGGGCCACTTGAGGCTCAGGCTTGCACTGCCGGCAGTGGCAGCAGCAGAGGTGTGATGGGGGTGTCACCTTCTCCTGATCACCGGGTCGCCTCCCGCCCCTGAGGGCTTCCAGACTGTGAGAGGGGGCAGGCCCGGCTGAGAGACCCCCTCCTCCAGTGCATGAATTTTCATGCACCAGGCCTCTAGTGGAAAAATAAAACTTGTAAAGTTGCTGCCGAAAAGTAATTTCTCTGGGTCTTCTCTGTTGTGCACACCTATTAGGTACTCTTGGAAGATCACAGCTGGGGATGATTATCTTAGCCCAGCCCAGTTGAAACAGAACTAATTACCTGTAAGATTAATATCCTAGACAAAGTTCAAATGAGGACTCATTTCTGAAGCCATGTATTTGCCCTAAAGGATTTCATAAACTATAAAGCACCATACACATATAAGGTATTATTAAAGCCAAACATACTACTTCATTAAGCCTTTGAGCCAAGGAGATTCTCATTACCAATGATAGGTCTACATTATGCCAGAGGAAAAGTAAAAAATAAAAAGTCAATTAGATTTCCCCACCTAGGGCCAACAACCATGTTTGATTGAGATTATGTCATTTTTATTTATTTTTTTTTTTTAATTTTAATTTTTTAAAATATATTTTATTGATTTTTTACAGAGAGGAAGGGAGAGAGATAGAGAGTTAAAAACATAGATCAGCTGCCTCCTGCACATCCCCCACTGGGGACGTGCCTGCAACCCAGGTACATGCCCTTGACCGGAATCGAACCTGGGACCTTTTAGTCCGCAGGCCGACGCTCTATCCACTGAGCCAAACCAGTTTCGGCAGATTATGTCATTTTTAAACTGAATTTTCTAGATGTATTAGCATCAGGTAGATATATTTTAATTGAACTCACCATAAAATCATATAAAACAAAATTGTTGGAAGATATTTACTGTTATTAAAATGATTGGATCAATAAATCTTCTCTTCCTCTGGTAGAATCTGTTCTTAAAGGTGAGTAATTACTGTAGCCTTCATTATCTATGGTGCACAGAGAGAATTTTTATCATGCTACACATATCTAAATACTGCCAAATTATCCCTTCAGGATGAGCAAAAATTGTTGGTTCAGTGGCCACCTTAGAACCTCCAAGCCTCTGGTGAGTACCTTCATGAGGAAGAGTGTGGAAAGCCACCGCTTTCCTAATACTGTCATAAGAGTGCACCAAGGAACGAGGAAGGCCCATGGACCTTGGGCATTAGTAGGCTGACGCTAGGCAGCGATTGTTTGGTGTTGAAATAGTGGTGGCTCGAAGCAATTTCCTGACCTAATAGCCCAAAGTAAATGTTTACTGCGCCTTACTGTTCTTTACTGATCTTTATTGACCTTAGAGACGGTATGTCTGCTACCTGTTTGCCAGTGCTTTACTGAGGGCAAGATGTGTATCTAAAATTGAATAAAAAGCAGATAAGTCCAGGTTTCAGTGTGCCTCTCCAAGCGAGAGGGCTCCACCTGGCCCCCCATGCCTTCTAAATTCATATTTCTTGTATAGTATTTTCACTTGTGCATCAGCCCCTCCTTCAGATCCTGAACCCCTGCTGCAAAAGGTTGCGGCAGAAGAGACTCTGTGAAACCACAAGGGAAAGCACTTTTGAGGACAGACTTGGAAAGAGCTTCTTCTGCATATGTTGTGTTCATCATGTTTTTCAATAGTCAAGGAATTATTTTCTCCCAGAACAAAGAGGAGTTTAAGGCCTTGTTTGTGGTGATGGTTTCAGAGGTGTGTACTTAACTCCAAACTAGTTCATTTGTAGATATTAAATGCACACAGCTTTTTGCATATCAATCATACCTCAACAGAGTGATTTTAAAACAAAGAAAAAGAAAATGTTTGAGTTGCAGACTATAGTCTACTTTGCCCAGTTTGGGGCACTCTTTTTGGCTGATAGACGAGGGACAGGAATTGGTGAAATGGCCAAGCTGTTAAGCAGTCACAGATTTATACTTAGCACCAAACATAAACCGGAAACCATTGTCATGAAGCTCTTTAGAAGCCTGTAGAGCACATGAGTAATACTCATGGCATGTAATAAGTAGCCAGGTCTCTAAAATTATCCCAGCCAGCTCTAGCTTTGAATGTCTGTTTCAATGGATTAAAACTATTTGGCAATTCTCTCCTCTCCTCTTTTTGGTTTTGGAGTGTATTTAAAAAAAAAAAAAAATCATTGTGCCCAAGGCATCCCTTGGTTTGGGTGACTTATAATTGAATAATTATATTAATATAGAAAGGCTGAATACTAGATGTTTACAAGGCACAGATTATGGAGCTCCTACTCTGGGGCAATTATTGGGCAAAAGTTTTGAAGCCCAAACCTCAATTTCTTAACCAATGGCACCAGGAGGCACCTACACTGCAATTTCAGTGTTAATTAAAGAAGTAAACATCCATTCATGAAGGGGGCAGAGTTGGCAAGTACTCATCTTGAGTAGCATATTGGTTTCTTTTCAAAGCTAATGAAAATGTTAGGTGTAGAAACATGTTGAAAGGATAGCACTTGTTATCCTTACTTTTCATGCAACAGCAAGCCTATGCTGCCCTGTATTGCTCTATACCTCTTATAAAAGTGCCTTGAGTATTTAATTGGCTTAGGAGTCTCTAAAAGAAGAGATGCCATGCGGGCACCTCAATGGGCCTTCCATGGACTTCAGGCCCAGTGCAGCTTATCCTCTGGGGAAACCAAGAGTACCCAACAGAATGAAAACAGAAAAGCCCCCAAATAAGTCATCAAAAGGGAAATTATCAATCTCTAGAGAAGACAGACCAGGCCATGTCCGTAACCTAGAAGCACCCACTGGGCTGTCCATATCTGGTAAGATGCTTCAGAGCAGCAACTAAAATGATGTCTGTGGTTAAAGAGAAAAAAAATATATTCTTTCTCAGGGCTAAATTGTTCATGGATATGAATCAGGAGCGTGCTTCTAGGATTTGTGCAGCGAGGTCATTTAGAGGACTCCCACTTCTGCTTTGTGGATGTGGATGTTCTTTTAGATGGTTCTCCTTTGTCCTTTATGCTACATGTTTGGAATAAAATGGAATTCTCTGATTCTAATCAAGACTGTACCTCTTTCTACACACCCTGAAGTGCCCAAATTTGACGAATGTCTTCTGAGGAACAACCCTAAGAGTATATGCCTGAAGATAGAAACTTGGTCACCTGAGATGGCTCTGCCAAGTTTTACCTGCATAGTCCGGCTGCATGAATGCCGTCGTAGAGGTGTGGGGAAACAGGGCCAGGGTGTCACGGTGAGTGCCTCGAAGGTGGATGGTGTTGCCTTGAAAATAAACTCCGTGCATGTCGGTGTCAGTGCCCATTCCAATCATATGCCAGGAAACTCTGTCCTTTTTGCACATGTTAAGGCCCGGCTGGTTGCCATACATATAACCATTAATAGCTAAATGGAAGGAAAGACGTAGTCAGAGCCCACTATAATTTTGTAGAAATACTGAAAACACATAATCTTAGTGAAAGCTTCTCAGTATGCATGGGGGTGGGGTGTTCAAGTGTTCAAACTCTTTACAGAAGATCCTTACTATCAGAGAATAATAGTACTGGGGAAAAGTCGTGGTGAATCAATTTCAAATGGAAACTGAAATGAACAATGAATAATAAAAATATACGAAAACCGTGAAAATGTTACATGTAACAACATGTACACAAGGGCATGTGTGAATTATAAGAATCAGTAAAGAATAAATCAGGTTGTGTTCTGGTATCCTTTTCTCTGATAAGATTGTTTGATGGTTAACATGATATCTTTCATTTTCAATTTTAGTTTTGGACTTTACCAATTTCCCCAAAGTCTTCTCTAAAACTTTTTAAAATATATATATTTTATTGATTTTTACAGAGGAAGAGAGAGGGATAGAGAGTTAGAAACATTGATGAGAGAGAAACATTGATCAGCTGCCTTCTGCACACCCCCTACTGGGGATCGAGCCCACAACCACAGTATATGCCCTTGACTGGAATCTAAACCGGGACACTTCAGTCCATAGGCCAACGCTCTATTCACTGAGACAAACCAGTTAGGGCTTCTCTAAAACTCTTGATATGAAAATCATTTTCTTTTGAGATTCCTATCCTGTCATCTCCCTTGTAAAATGTCTCTTTCTCAGTTTTAATTCATATAATTTTGTCAGATCCTTATTTGTCAATGCTTTGATTTGATTCTAGAAGATATTAGACATTCCTTTACTGACTTCATGGATCCTGCATCATTTGAAAGATTTGCAATTAATTGACATTATATTGGCTGTTGTATCAGTGGAGAGGAATTTTTTTGGAGGTGGGTGGTGGGGAAGAGGAACACTAAGTTTATAAGAAGGTAGTCTTTGGGTAAATAAGTTTGCCTTATGGTAACTTTTCCTACCTCAGTAAAATAATTGAAAGAACTTAGAGTACTTCTTACTTAGATATGAATACCATCTGTATCTCCAGAAATGCAAACTGTTTTTTATCTTTTACATCAACCCCAATGTTTTGATAGTGGCTACCTGGAGCAGTGCATAGAGAATTTACAAAGCACATTCTCACTCTGTGTGTGTGTGGCGGGGGAGGGGGGGGGTGAATGAATGCCATGACTGAGCAGCACTGTCTGAGGGGCAACTGCACATAACTATGTCTCATGCTTGATGTCCATTAGAGAGATAAAGATTCCATCCCTGCCCCCACTCTTTACTAATGCCCATCGTAGGAAGAAACAACTGCTATACCCTGAACGATCTTCTGTTATAATCCCATTCTCAAACAAAATTACTTCTTATTTCTGTGTCTCAGAACCAGGGGTGGTTGGTAATTTTCCTCAGATATCTAAGATTATTAGTGGAAATTCCAAGAAGCCCTGGGCTTCTGAGAAAGAACATCTCATTTTCTGAAAAAAGAATCTTTGATCATGCTCTGAAAATAAATTATCTAAATCTTGTCCACTGAATATCAAAGAGATATCATTGTAATAACAGTCCTTGGCTGGCTGGTAGAAATGTTCTCTTGCCCGGGAACTATTTTAATGCCTCTCTTTCTGAAACATTCATTCATTCATTTGTTCATTCATTCAGCAAACATCTTTGAATATAGACTATAGAACAGGTGCAATGCAAAGCATTGTATGCCATGTGAGGTACCTTCTCTTTGGTATTGTTGCCACTTTTCTTCCACTCCATGCAAGCAAGACTGGAGAGGTAATTTAATTCATAATTAATGTAAAATTTAAATTAAAATACATGATTTTCCTTGACTTTGCTTTTAAAATGAGACAGTCTGCATGTCCAAAATATGCAAACATGTTCACATGGCCAAACCAAGATGGGGCTGGATTTGACATGGCCCATGAGGCTGTTGAATGTTTTCTATACACAGGCCTCTCTTATGATAAATTTCATTTGCAACTTACCTTCTCCACTAAGGAATTGCTATGTTTCCTCATTTCTAGCTTTAGTTTTTTTATTAGCTACTAGGCAGATTGCAAACAAACTTTGTATTGAGTTATAACAAAGCTTTTTGTAGAAGATGATAATGCAAATGCGTTACTCCATGCTTTCTATTGGCCCAAGAGGGAACTCTGTTGGAATGGAGCATCCGGGACCTTAGGAGTCTGTGAGCTGGTTGCGGTGAGTCACTTGGAACCTTGGATTTCCTTGTGGGAGAGGGAGATTAAGGGCTGCTTTGTTATTTTCTCATAATGTTTTAAAGGCAATAAGTAGATGTTATCCTGGGTCCTAAGACAAGCAGCTTAGCACCTTTATCTATCTTACAGTGTTTGTTTTAGGCACTTTTTTTTTTCCCCCTTTTTGGCTGCACACTCTAGCAGGCATTTGAGTTTGGAATCTTGCAGGGAAGGTGAATTAAGTAATTCCTCCTAAATGAAGATCTGGAATAGGAATGGCTGGAATTTTACAAATTAACCCTTTAGACAGACACACAGACAACATGATAAGAGCTCCTTTGCAGTATAGTGATTACCTCCAGTTATCACTGGGGTTATCAGACTTAATGCTGTTATCGCGAACCCAAGGGAGGGCATTTTGTCAGTGATTTTATACAATTAAGAGGCACTGTGACCTTTGCAAGTTCTAATTTTGTGTTGCTCCATCTAAGGCTGACAAAGTGTTTTAGAAGTGTTACTTAAGGTCACAACCTCTCTGGGAGATCCTGAGGGTTCACTATACCTTGTGAGGCTGAAGCCGTGAACTAATTGACTCATCCAAAAACAATACCCAAGACACCAAAAACTAAGATAAAACGTTTTCACTCCAAATGCAACGACGCCTTTTCTTTACAGGGAAAAAGTCACTTTTCATACCATGCATCCGATTGGACTTCACAAACTCTTTGTCCTCTTTGTCAACACTGAAGGGACGCAGGGTGAACTTCTGAATGTTTTCATCAAGATACCTACTCAGATTCTCATCAAAGACTGTGAACAGTAGGTAAAATTCCTTGTCTATTCCTTTCTACAGAGAAGAAAGAAATGAATATGTGAAAAGTACAGCTTGGAGACATTCTTAGCTCGGTCTCACGAGCAAAGTTAACACGAAGTAAACAAGAATCGGCATCAGCCATAGATGTACAGGGTAATTTTGTAAATCGGGATTCTGAGGATGATTCTGATAAATTTATTACACTCCCCCAAAATCCATCTTTCTCATTATATCCTTCTCCTTCCCCAGGTGGGAAATAAGGCTTTCTACCTGTAGTACTGCTGTTGTCAGCTGGCCATCACTGTCTTACTCTCCTGATCATGGCCTCTCTCTCTCTCTCTCTCTCTCTCTCTCTCTCTCGTTTCATGCCCTCATACTCAGCCCCTGCTTACTGCAGCCACGCTCACACCAACCTCTCTCATTCCCACCTCAGGGCCTTTTCATGTGCTGTTCTCACTGCCTAGAAGGCCCTCCCAGGTTTTGCTTGGGTCACTCCCTTACTCCATCCAGTTCTCTGCACAAATGTCACCTCCTCGGGGTGCACTTCCCTGGCACCTGTTTAAAACAGTCACTCACCTTCTAGCCTGCCTTCAAACTCACTCCCTTTCCCTTACTTTGCTCTTCATAGCACATATCTCTAACCTTAAATTATATTTTGTTTATAAACATATTTTTTATTGTTTTCTCACTGCAATGTTGGCCTTGTAGGAACATTCTAGGTTCCTCTCTGTATCCCCAGCTCCAAAAAAAAAAAAAAAAAAAAAAAAAAGCAGGTACCCAATACATGTTTGTGAGTGAAATAATGAATTGAGTTAACCCATGAGACTTCACTATATTATGTTAACTTGAGTTGATCTTGAAGGGACTATGGATTACTTCCCACTGTGTATACTCCTAATCTTCTATTTGAGCACATCTGACCACACAGCATCTCGAATGGATGGATAATGCTTTTCTTTAAAGCTGAAACAGAGAGGGGGCTGTATTTTCGGTCCCTCAATGTCTCCTTTCCCTAACATGCTCCTGTCTAATCCACCCTTCATCCTGCTGCCTGCTCCAGAGAGCTCCTCAGCAATGCCATCTGGTCACATCTCTTTCCCTCTTATACTGGACAATACAACCTAAACTCACGGTGACCTGGTCCCTGCCTGCCTGTACTGCCTCATCTCTTGGCCCTTCCCTCCTGGCACTTTGACCAAAGAGAAGCCTAGCTTCTTGCGCGATTCTGAACTTGCTGTGTTCTGGGGGTCTCTGTCCTTCATGTATGTACCCTTAACTTTGATGGTCTGCCACCCTAATGCAGCCTCAAGGGCCAGCTTAGCTGTCTCATCTCTGTGATGCTTTCCTAACACCCTATGGAAGATGTGGATACTGCTTGCTTTACACTCATACTGTACCTGTACACTTAACTGCTTTTATCGCCTGGTGTTTCAGCAGGCAGGAGTTTAGGATAATGGGCTATAGAAAGAAACAATGTAGGCCTGAAATTTTTCAAAATAAAATATAAAAATTTGAGAGGAGCAAAAGGGTCACAGTATATTTTTAAAGATTATGGGTTATGGAAGCAGGCAGGCCTAGGTTCTAATGCCATTATTTTTTTTCATGATTTTATGTAACTGGAATGACCATAAATGGTATTTGGCTTAGGTAACAACTCCCAGAGAATATAAGGCTTCTAGCAAACCTCGAAGTTACCACTGAATGGATGCAACAGGGACAAAATCAGAAGTACCTAACAAAACGTTTCTGGCACACTATGCTTTTGGTTCAGGTGTTTAGCTAATAGAAAGCAGAGTAGTGTATTGATAAAAGATCAAAGTTGGATGCTCCAAGTTCCATATTCTGCTGACTCTCACTACTTTACTAGGTGTGTTTCCTGGGATATCATGCAACGTCTCTGAGCCTCAGCTCCTTCAGCTTTAAAATAAGGATAGTCATTCTGCTTCGCCTTATCTGATTGTTGGGGTTCAGTATAAATATTCAGTCTTATTGCACAGCATTATTGAGGGTCATTCAGAGGGCCAGGGACACACTGAATCTCCAATAGACATTTCCAGGATTGGTCCTTTGCACAGGGAAATGAGAATGTGAGGCGGACCAAGACACTTTATGTCTTCTACCTAGCAGTTCCTTTGAGCCCAGAAGTGGGTCCATACAATGCAAGCATTATAAAATATACCATTTAAATAAATAGTCTTGCTATTTCTGATTGGTGAAGTCATTTCAAACGGTTAAATGACTGGACTTTCCTCTTTTCATCAGTGTATTTAATAGCACGCAGACACGGCTTGGGATGCCATGTTTTGCCACACTAACCAGTGCAACCATCCAAGCCTCTAAGGCGGGACTTGCCAGAAGTTATGTACATGTTTCTTGTCCTTTCAGCCAGTGATTAACTTCCAGTTCGTAGTGAGGAGTTAACAGTGGTTCTCACTCAGCCCTGGCTGCTCATTGGAATCACCTGGAGATTCTGATGGATTGGTCTGGAATACGTGAAAAAAGATGTTTAAAAGCTCCCAGGTGATTCCAATGGGTGGCCAGGTTTGAGTAACCTTGTCCAAGAAGAAAGGATCCCAATTTGCACTCCATGTCGACCTCAGAAGATTCTAGAATCAAAGCAATGCACAGGGAGAGACCCACCAAACCCCAGGCAACAAGCAGAAATCCTGGGTTTCTGGGTGGGCATCTGTAACTCAGGAAAGTCAGATGTAAATTTACCAAAAAAAAAACAAAAATAAAAATCCCATTGTGTAGAAGTCAGTTTCAAGAAGAAGAGGGGGAAATTGCTTTTTGTAACCGACTCTTCATTATGACCTGATCTCTAACCGTATTACTGCTTTTTCTTACATACAACCCTGAGAAGAGCTTGGTAACATTTGTTGACTTACCTGTGTGCCATCAGCATTGAGAGCACCTTTTTTACAGACTAGCAATGGCCCTACAAGGCCAGCGCTGGTGTCCTTGATTGGCTCAACTGCTGAGAAGTAAAGGTAGGTCAGACAGGGAGGGTCAGCAGCTGTGGGGCTTACGCTTTCAGGCACTGTCCATCTGTACGTGAAGGTTTCCCCCGGCTTAACATGTGCCCCTGGTTTCACAAATCCTGAGGAAATAAATGGAACAATTACTCGAAGCAACAACCGGGAACATTATTAAACTTGTCAGATTGGGTCTCCCAGCCCAGGGTGTTTCTCTCTGATATGTTTTGCAGAAGGACAGTTGATTTTGCTTACGTATCTTCCGAGGGAAGCTGCTGCCACAGTCTTCTGTTTCATGAGACAGAAGCTTCTATCAAAGGATTGTCTTCTAGATTACATTTATTAATTTCATAGATGCTATTCTTACTCAAATACCAGGTTTAGCATATATTTAAAATGTGGTAGTTGCCCATTTAGCAATTAAATGTAGCCATAAAATATTACTGAGTGCCTTCTATGTGGAATATATTACATTTGGCCCAGCAAAGTATATCCCAAAAAGTTAAGCCAAAGGCCTATCTTTAAAGAGTTTAAAACCTTGAAGGTTGAACTAGGAAATAACCCAAGTAACTACAAGAAAAGTTCAAGGCTGCAAGGCTGATCTGGGATCCAAACCCAGGGCGGTTCAATTCTAAAGACAGTGCACTTAATCCTCATGTTACATGGCAATGAACATATTGAATCTCTCCTGCTAGATGGAGCCACTCTGCATCTTATCCAGGGCTTTGCAAAAAGATGCCCTATAAGTTTGCTGAGTTAAACAATAGAAAATATAGACATTTGGGTTGTCACATTTTTTTTCTGGACACCTACAAAAAGTCATTGTGAGCATTTAACCAAGGAAGAAAGTGCAGGTACAGGAGCTACTGCAGCAGGGAGGGCGAGGATGGACCTAGGGAGGAGGAATTCTCTCTCCATTCCTTCATCCTCTATCCTCCTCATCATCACCACAAAGCCAGCTCTGATAGGCCTGGCCTCACACTGGGACATGAAGAGGTAGCCCAGGCAGCCATGATGTCAGCCGCAGTGATGGAGGAGGCTTGGGAGGAGACCCGGAGTTTCCCAGGAGCAGGGTCATGAAGGGAAGGACACTTCCTGCAGCCGCTGGGCACAAGCTGCCTTCCTTACATACAGAGAGCCTGTGTCGCCTACTCTGTGATGGGGAGAAGCCATCGATGATGATAAGCACATAATACGGTTTTAAATAAATATTTCGGCCCTAGCTGGTTTGGCTCAGTGGATAGAGCGTCGGCCCGCTGGCTGAAGGGTCCCAGGTTCAATTCCAGTCAAGGGCAGGTACATTGGTAACAGGCTTGGTCCCAGGCCCTGGTTGGGCATGCAGAAGGCAACCAATCGATGTGTCTCTCTCACATCTGTCTCTCTCTCTCTATCTCTCCCCCTTCCTTCCACTCTCTAAAAATCAATGGAAAAATATCCTCCGGTGAGGATTAACAAAAAAGTAAAACAAAATAAATAAACAAACAAACAAACAAACAAACAAACAAATAAATATTTTGTTGGTAGATTTGGAGCAAAGACCATGTGTAAAATTTTGATGCAAACAAAACATCTCCCCCTCATCCTTCACCCACAGAATTCCATGTAACCTGCAGCAGAAAAGTTATTCACCTTAAAGAAGTGGGGGTGACTGTGAAAGTGGCTTGCTTTGAGATTTATTACATTACTAAGGAAAAAAAAGAAATTAACATTTCCTAAGAACCTACTATGGGCCAGACTCCGTCCTGAATTCTCTGCATTGCTTCCCAAAGCCCTGTGAGTTGATAGGTGAGAAGAATAAGGTTTAGAAAGTAGAAATAATTGCCCAAGCTCACTGAGCTGGTAAGTGAAGGGACCAGGATTTGAACCTGTACTGTCCAGTTCTAAGTCCTTTGCATACTCATCCTGTTTCCTCCCTAAGCTTAGGCTGAGACTTACCATCTATGTTTGGGGCTGCATCAGAGGCCTTGTCATAGACCACGCCATGGGGCAAAATACTGTAGACTTTGTCAGCTTTGTTGGCAAAGGTCACTGTCAGGGTATCGCCCACCTCTGCCCTGATGACTGGGCCTGAAAAATATCAAGAAGAGAAGAGGGTGAAAATAGAAAGACGTGAATATAGGCAAGAGAAGAAGAGTCATTCCAAGTAGATGTACATGCCTGCTAAAACATCTCCCCTCCCCCATTCAAAACAGGCTGGATGGTTTTACTCTACCAAGAATTCCAAGATGGGCTTCTGCCTCAGAGAGTCTCTTTCTTCGAGTGAAAGTTGCATCAACATACTCTATATATTGAGCCTTCCAATATTTTCCTCCTATTCTGTTGTCCCCTTGTGTGAAGTAGAGCTCAGAGTCACTGTGGAAAGAGTAGGAACCTGACTGAGAACACATCTCTGATATCCGCCAACTGCTTTCATTATGGAGCTTGGTTTTATGATCTTTAGCCCATTCACCCACCCATCTCTCAAGAAACAACAAAACAGGCCTCAACAGAGTTCCCAGGAATAGTCAACCAGCCTTAAAAGTCGCCAGAAGCTGGATGATGCGCAAGCTCATTTCTCTCTTAGCCACTGCACTTTCTTCCCCAAAGGTCCAGCAACCGAAGAAGAAGGCACAGGTAACTCCTTACTTACCGGTACTGGAGTCCCAGAATGGTTTCCTACAAAGTAACAAAGAGCTAACTGGTTTCTTTGCAGAATAAGCAACCCTCTCTCTCTTGCTGATGTCAATATGAATATCTCTGCATATTGTAAGCTCTTTGGTATCTGGCCTGATTAAGGAATGGAGTGTCTAGTTAATCAAGTCTTTTAATTAATAGAGAGTTATTATATATGCTACATACATGAAATACTGCTTCAAAGTTGTGAAATATAATACTATACATTCTGACTAGTACTAACTCTATATTATCTTATTTCTGTCAATGGTACCATCACTCTTGCAGTTACACAGGCTGTTTACTACCCCCCCCCCTTATTTTGTTTATTTGTAACCTTTTAGTGCACCCTTCCTTTTCAGCACCTTTTTTTTGCATCTTTTTCTTTCCTTTCTTTCTATTGCCATGACCCAGTTCATGCCCTCATCACCTTGTGTTTGGACCGTTACATGAACCTCTAACTCTCCATCCTCTATTTCACACGGGCTCACTCAGTTTTTTCTCAGCATACACACTGCTGCAACACAGATCTCCAAAATGGCCATTTGCATTATCAAATACCAGTTTCAAAATTGTCATTTGCTTTCAATTGCCAATCAAATAAGGGTAAAGGACCTCTGCAATTGATATCCAGGTTATTTTGCCCCAATTCTCTCTATGTAAATGCCTACTCACCTATGCATATCCCCTTCTGCAGTCATTCTGATCTTATCACTTTCTCCTGCATGAAAGGTGCTGCACGAACCCCTACAGCTAAAATTTCACTGTTGTGTAACAAATTCTATCCTTCTTCATGGCCCTGCTTAGGTCCCGCTTCCTCTGTGTAGGGTTCCTGTCTCTTAGTTCTCTCTGAATGCCCAGAGAACTGACTGAACAACTCACTCCTGTTTGTAACTGGTGGTTACCTGTGCATACAGATTCTTCCTCCACCTTAAGGTGGGAACATTGTCTGAGATCTTCTTGCATTCCTCATGTCACTTAGTGTATGTTGTGCTTTCGTATATTACATTAAATATCGATTGAATGCAGCTTAATCTAACTTCAGATTTTAAAAGGTGCTTCATAGTCTGTAAGGCTTCTAAGACATAATTTTCAACACTAATTCTCATTATTCTGTTTATGGAGAAATACTGATCAGTTGAGAATGTTGATAGCACAGTTTTCATATATGGTTCACACACATTCTTTAAACAAGGATTAAGTGTAGCAGCAGTTTGGTGGAAGAATGAATGAATGAATGAAATCTACAGTGAAAAACAAAGGGTATCTTATTGATCACAAAGAGAATTTAAAAAAAAAAAATTCCCCAAACATAAAAAGGATTATAGGGTAATAGCAGTACTTTTTGGTATTGCAATGTACATTTTTAAATGCTTTCACAAATATCATTGCATGTGATTCTACAATAAGAAGTAACAGGAATCCACAACCACTTAATAAACCATTAGATTCCATTTTGAAAATACTATGTTCTATGGGAGCCAAGTGAGAAAATTATCAATTATGACTCAGGAGTCAGGGAAGGCCTCACTAAAGAGGTGACATTAGTGCTAGATTTGAGAGGAAAATGGCATTTTACTGTACAGGGAGGCTTACATCAGGCTGTCCTCGAACCAAAAAAGGTAACCTTCCTTGCCAGTTCATCTCCATTGAAAGAGTCCTGTCTTATTCCCTTTTCAAAACGGGCTGCTCCATATGTACAAAGAGGCTTTGTTCTGTTCTCTGTCAGCTTAGTATTGCTCATGGCACTTAGCACTGCAATTCGCACATAGTAGGTGCTCAAGAAATGCCTGATGACTGACTGAATGAATCTGGTGCTTTGATTTAGCCAGAAAATTGTGAAGCAATAAATAGTCTGCCAATTCTCAGCAGTATATCCAGGGCTCAGATCTCCTTAAGTGTTATCATTATGTCATCTCATAAGATGTGCTCATAAGAGCAGTGCTGGGAATATGAATGAGATCTCAAGGAAAAGGCCAACAGAAACCGTTTTAATGAGAGGCTCAGAAACACCATCAGAAAAGCTTACCTGCCAGAGGCATTTAGGGGAAGACCACTGAATTTGTTATAACCTTGAGGACCATAATCCCAAAGAATTTTTTCAGCTGCTATAAAGTAGTGCCTTTGTCCACCCTTCATCTTGGGATGAGAAATACTGTTTTTGCAGTTACCAACATTGTATTGCCCCAGCATACCAGCTGCAGAACAGAGGAAAACGGTCAGCCAAGGTATAACTGCTCACAAAAGAAACCATACAGGAAAAAACTAATCAATTTGACTTCATGAACGAACATTTAAAACTTTTGTACAGAAAACAGGACCATAAACAAAGTTAAAAATAAAGGATAAATACAAGACATTGTTCTTTTTTATCGCTGTGTGATATTCCGTTATAAATGAAACCATATGGTATTTTCTTGGTATTTCCATGGACCTAAAGGATATTATGCTAAATGAAATGACAGACAGAGAAAGAAAATACCATAGAGTTTCGCTTACATGTGGAATCTAAAAAAACAAAATAAAACAAACAAGCAAAACAAAAACAGACTCATAGAAACCGAGACCAAGGGATGGTTACCAGAGGGGAGAGGGTTGGGGGATGGATGAAAAGATTAAGGAGAATAATACAGTCAATAAATTTGCACAATGACAGACCAAATACTAGAATTAGTGGAGTGATCACATTGTAAGGTATAAAAATGTTGAATCACTATATTGTACACCTGAAACTAATATAACTAAAATAATATTATATACCAATTACACTTAACATTTTTAAAAAGTAACAGATAAAAGGTCAGCAGGGCTATATTTTTACACATATGACAAACAATTAATATGTAAATAATATTGATGAGTAAGAAAAAAATAGTAAATCTCCCAATGGAAAATGTTCTAGGAACATAACTAGGTTATTTACAAAAGAAATATTATTGGCTCACAAACAAATGGAATAAAAAGTTTAACCTTAATAGTAATCAATGACACTGTTGTTCATTTATCAGATTGGTAAAAACTATAAAAAATAATTCCCATTGTTGACATTTGAATATGGAAAAGGGAATACTCACACACTATGAGTAAATAGTAACAATTTTTAAAAGGGAATATAGTGATGTATGTCCCTAGCTTAAAAAAAAAATCAAACTCTTTGACCCAGGAACTCCAAATCCAAGAGTTTTGCTAAGAAAATGTCAGACAAAAGTATAAACTTCTCTGTAAATTGATGTTTACTAGTATGTTTATAAAAGCAGAAAATGGGGGGAAATATAAATGTTAAGCAATAGAGTATTGGTTAAATAAATTGTAATCGCCTTATAAAGAGCATTGGAAGGGAAATGACTCTATATTCACTGACATGTAAATATATTTCTGATATACTAATAAGTGGAAAAAGTAAACTATCGGGCAGTAGGCAGTATTTTATCTTATTTTATAAATAACATATGCGCCCTGACCGGTTTGGCTCAATGGATAGAGCGTCAGCCTGTGGACTGAAGGGTCCCAGGTTCGATTCCAGTCAGGGGCATGTGCCTTGGTTGCGGGCACATCCCCAGTAGGGGGTGTGCAGGAGGCAGCTGATCGATGTTTCTCTCTCATCGATGTTTCTGGCTCTCTATCCCTCTCCCTTCCTCTCTGTAAAAAATCAATAAAAAATATATTTAAATAACATATGCATTTAGTATAAAGGTCTAGAAAATAGTGATGGAGGATATTCATCAAAATGTGATGCCATTATCTTTAGATGGAATTACTGATTTTAAAAATGGAATTGTATGTATTTTCCAATTTTTCACAATAATTTTTTTCTGAAGGTATGGACAATTTAGAACATATTGTATTTCAGTAATGTATAAACACCAGTTTATGTCCACAACTGCTAGCCAAGCTTAGCAATCTTACTAAGATTGGCTGCTAATGCTAGTTTCTTGAAAACTAGTTTCTTCTTAGATTTAATAACATGAGACCCTTCAAGAATAGGGATCTTGTGTTGAGAACACTTAAGACCTACCCTCTTAGGAAATTACAAGCACACTACAGTATTATTGACTGTAGAGGCTATGCTGTTATTAGAACTCATTCTTCTTGCATCATAGAAACTTTGTACTCAGCGGTTCTCAACCTGTGGGTCGCGACCCCTTCGGGGGTCGAATGACCCTTTCACAGGGGTTGCGACCATCGGAAAACACATATATAATTACATATTGTTTTTGTGATTAGTCACTATGCTTTCATTATGTTCAATTTGTAACAATGAACTTGGGGGTCACCACAACATGAGGAACTGTATTAAAGGGTCGCGGCATTAGGAAAGTTGAGAACCACTGCCTCGGGATCTTAACTGTTCTCAGCACACACACAAAAGGTAACTATGTGAGGTGATGGCTATGTTAATTAGCTTGAGTGTGGTGATCAGTTCACAATGTGTACATGTATCAAAATATCCAGTTGTATATCTTAAACATATACAATTCCTATTTGTTGATCATCCAATATAATAAAAGGGTAATATGCAAATAGACCAAATGGCAGAACAACCAATCAAAGCATAATATGCTAATGATATGCTAAGGCTGTTCAACTACTCGCTATGACATGCACTGACCACTAGGGGGCAGATAGTCAACTGGTCGACCAGTTGCTATGACATGCACTGACCACCAGGGGCAGTTGCTCTGACCCATAGGTTAGCTTGCTGCTGGGGTCCAGCCAATCGTGACTGAGAGAGATGTCCCAGACATGCCCTGGAGCCCTCCCACGGTCCCTCCCTGGCCTGATTGTGCATCGCTGGGGTCCCTCAGCCTGACCTGCGCCTTCTTGCAATCTGGGACCCCTCAGGAGATGTCGGAGAGCCTGTTTCAGCCCAATCCCGCAGGCCACTCCCCTTGGGAGGTCACCAAATGCAGGGCTCATGGCTGGCGAGCGCAGCAGCGTGAGCCTCTCCCTATCTGGACTGATTGGGCATGAGCCCACAGCAGGCACAGTGGGGCCAGGATGAGTGGGAGCAGCAGGTAGAAGCTGCAGGCAGCGTTGGACTGCGGGTTTCAGCCCAATCCCTGCAGGCCACCCAGAGAGAACCCACCCATGCACAAATGCATGCACTGGGCCCCTCTAGTACATCAATAAAGCTGGAGGTGGGGAGCGGGGAAGGAGGTGCAGTTAGTGTGGCTCAGTTGGTTGAGCATCGTCCTGTGCACTGGGAGGTTGCCGGTTTGATTCTAAGTTGGGGCACATGCCTGGGTTGTGGACTCGATCCCCAGCGGGGAGGTGTGCAGGAGGCAACTGACTGATGTTTCTCTCTCTCTCCCTCTCCTTTCTTCTCTCTAAAATCAATAAAAAGATATTTTTAAAAATAATAAAATGAAAAATAAAGCTGGGGGAGAGGGGAGCAGAATCAGAAACTTACCTTGTTCATCCTTGTCTTCCCTGAACAGTATCTGATATCTATTAACTGATCAACCAACATTTGTAGAATTTAATTTAATTGGAATAACCCAGCTGACCTAGTGCTCAGATTAGCTGCTTAAAGTTGATGGGAACAAGAATGTGTTATCAAAGCAGCTCCGAAGGTTGCATCCCTGTACTGTCAGTGACTGTGTGTGGTTAGTCAGTATCCAAATTAACCACACATTATTTCTTCTGTGTCTATCTCTTTTTCTAACCTTGTTTTCACCATGTGAGGCCAGGCCTTTTATATGTGTAACCCTAATGTTGCCAACGCTTCTTAACTAGCATCTAGTGGCCAGAATCCCCATCATTGAAACTGTTCTGCACGCAGGTATCATAGTTTTCTTCCCAAATCACTGATTATGTCACTAGTGTGCCTACGGATCTAGAAGGACTCACTATTGCCTTCCAGACACAGTCCCACCTCCTTACCCCTGCCATTCAAAACTGCTCCCACTGGGGCCAAACTGCCTCTCGAGGCTTCTCTCTCATCACTCCTCAAGCATGGGCCCACCTAAGTAAAGACCTATTCTATGTGGCCCCAAAGAACCAGGACCAAGTCATTCAGCAGGCATTTAAGCCAACAAATGTTTACTGCACACCTTTCATCGGGTTTTGCATATAAGGAAGGATGTTCTAACAGAGCAGCCCAGAAATGAAATGGGCTGCTACAATTACTTAAAAAGAGATGCTCCAAAGGAAATTGAAGATAGGATGGGGGATTGATCCAGATTACCTACAAATTCCTTGACAGTGCAAAAAATGTGCTATTCTAATTACAGTTGCTCATAGAGAACACGTTTTTCCCAGTCCATGCTGATTCCTCTACCTGGAAAGTCTTTCTTTCCTTCTTCATCTATTCAGTTCCTACCCATATTCCCACGCTCAGAGGAGGAGCCAACTCCTTAGGAAGCCTCTCTGATCGCTCTAGAGAAGTGACTATGGCACCCAAAGAGCATTTATCATCCTGCCTCGAATGTTAGTCATTTTGCAAGTGACTATTAGACTATGGATTGAGGGCCTTATATCTTTCAATCACCTCTCACGTGGTTCATAGGAAGGGGATCAATAAATATCTGTTGACAGGCTGTCACATAAGCATTGTACATTTTCCTATGTATTTAATATTTAATTAAATATAACACATAACAGCAGGCACTGAATGAGCACCATTGACGATGCGATTTAATTGTTCTACTTTAAGCTTCTTACACTGGACCTTTGTCCTTTTACCTTGTAGGTGATCACTGACTTGGCAGGTTATCATCCACTTCCCAGGATTCTCAGCTATCATTTCTGTTGTCAGGAAGGTGGCTGGGAACAGGTTGACAACGTCAGTCCGATGCCCTCGGCTGATGAAGGTGTTACCATAGAAATAGATGGAATGGATGTCTATCTCATTCCCCATCCCAAATAGGTGCCAGGACACTGATTCACCAGCGCACATCTCAGGCTCGGGGAAGTTCCCAAAGAGGTATCCATTGAGGGCTGAAACACAGAAGCACACGAGAGGAATAGACTCCCCAGCAGAGGCGAGCAGAAGCACGGACCCTGGTAATTCATTCTCTAGCACAGCTGGAAAGTCAGCGCAGATCACTGACTGTAATGACTTTGTGCAGAAAAGCTCCTTTTATAAAATATAGCCCCAGAAGGGAATGAAAGGTATTGGTCTTTTTGAGAGAAAAGCATTCAATAAAAATGGTAATCGGCACACGAGAAAACAGCCTTGGAGCCGCTGTGTGGCCCAATGAGATCAGGAGTAAACAGTGCCTCTCAAACTTCCAGGACCGGTCAGTCAGCCACCTCTTTCCCAATGCTTCATTTGCATATCTGCCTTCCCCACTGACTCTGTCCCTGCAACCAGAACCCTGTCTCACTTATCTTACAGCTATCAGGACCTAGCAGAAAACCTGGCACACAGTAACTACCTAATGTAAGTGACAAAAGCAAGCAGCAAGATGGAAAGAAAAGGTACTGATTAGATGGGGCTTATGGCACATAGTGAATGCTCAATAGATGTCGCTGATTTAAAGAATGTCTGGGAAAACATGATTTCACAAAGTGGGTATTTAACTCTGAGCACAGCATCATTCTTGACGTTTAGCAGCTGCTTAGAAAATGGTTTCTGGATAAAGCAAGAGGTTGCAAATCCCAGGATTCATATAGGCTGATGACTTGTTCTCCTTTCTTCTGCGGTCTAAAGCCACCCGTCTTCTGGGGTCACCTCCTGATTCTTCCCTGATTATAACATCAATCCTTCCCCTTGTAGTCCCATAGCTTTGTCGTACGTAATTCAGCTTACATCTATTGCCTTGTTCCTTCTCAGATTGCTGCGGGTTCTGGTATGTCATGTGTTAATATGTTTCATATCACTTTCTAACCATTCTCATCACTAAGTTACAAATCTTGGAAAACTAGGTTGGTCATTTCTGTGTGTTTGCATCCCTCATAGCACCGGATACACAGAGGCGGCCGGTATGTATTTGGAAATGGGAGACACTACCATGCATTTTGTTACTCCTCTGGAAAACAGCATCTTCCTTGTCAACTGAGTCAGGCTCAGTGCAGAAATGCCTGATATTTTCATCGAGGTACCAGCTCTGATTCTCATCCACCAGGGTAAACATTATGATGAACTCTTGGTCCACATCCGTCCTTGTCCCTGAATGTTTGTTCAGGACACCTGTCAAACACATTGAAAAGAGAAGAGGAAAAGGTTCAGAATGAACTAAATCAAGGTGAGTTTTGCTTCCTGCCAATGGTGTCACCTAAGCGTGAAGTTTGTCAAAGACCTATATGTACAAGAGTACCCTGCAGCTTACAAGCAGCGAAGGGCTTTAATGAAAATGACAGAACTGCCGAAAACAAAAGGCACAGGACAGAAATCTTCACAACTGCAGACTTGGAAATCTGTCCACTCCCGGAAGGAAGTCAACTTTATTGACAGAATACAGACACACCAAACCAATAGGGAAGAAATAGCAGCATGAATATGTGGGTGAAATAAAGAAGCAAAAGCATTCCTGGTCATTTATGACTTTTTTTTCATTTTCCTTGCATGGTGTCAGTGAGGTGTTAACAGCTATTAATAGAGAATGTCCTTATTTTTTCTTTAAAAAAATAAAGCATATATGTTTCAGAAGGCCATGGTGGTCCTTAGAAGTCTGAATTGTTGCCCCTGCTATGGTGTCAGACTGATCTTCTATGTTAGAGGAATTTCTCCCATCTTATAGGAAGTTTGGGAGAAGAGGCACATTCCATATGAAGCAAAGAAGGTAAGCAAGACAAGACCTGAAATGTATGCACACTTTTCATCACACCTGGGAACAGCCTACTTAGTTGCGGGGGGAGGGAGGGCACCCTCTTACCTTCCTTGCACACCAGCAGCGGGCCAATGAGCCCAGAGCAGATGTCCTTAGGGGCGTCGATGTGCGAATGGTACACCCAGGTCAGGCAGTTGGCGTCGGCTGGAGCAGGAGCATATTCTTCTCTCACGGGCCAGACGTAGGTGTAGTTTTTGCCAGGAGGAACCATATCATCATTTTTGTTCTTTCCAGACGTCCCATCTGGGTACAAGGCTCCTTCCAAGAAAAGAGAAAACACAGTTAAACACAGAGACCACAGGGCCAGAGCTTTGGAATCAAACACATACCAATTAAAATTTATTTCCTGTGAGATGGAAGGAAATTACTTACATTCTCAATGCCTCAACTCTCTGTAGTACAGCTGGAATGTTACTGTGTGCCCCAGAGGGATGTGAGAACTAGATGACCATGTATATGACTGTCCTGCACAAGACCCGGATGCTTACAAGATGTTCCTAAAGACCCTCCTGATAGGCCTCCTGTACCAATCAGGAAGCTCGCAATCCACTCAACTTAACGCCAACTTAAGAGGAAAAGAGAAGCAGCAAAAGAAAGAACAAACACCTCTTGGGCACTTAGAACAGATTCAGCACCTATATGAGGTCTCACAAAATACAGGAAGAGAGTTAAGACATTCTTCCTGCCTCCAGAGACCTTACAGTTCCTCGGGGGCGACAAGAATATGAACTATGAACACATAGGTCAACTGAAAGATAAAGCAGGGTGATGTGTTCTATGTAACTTGAAGTCTATGCAAGGTGGACGTTCTACCACAGAGAAGGGCGGGGCGCACGGGCGTGACATTCCCTTTCTCTGTTTTAAAAGCTAAGATTGCACAAGGTTTTTCCATTAAGGAAGGTCCGTCGCTAAAAATAGTTTGAAAATCACCTGGGTGGAAGGCAGAAGATCAACCTGTGCAAGTTATAATTACCAGAAGCTTCATAACAGAGGTGGGATTTGAGGGGCCTTCAACGACTGGGAGGACTTGGATGGTACTGAGAAAAAGGCTGGAGGGTGAGGGCTGAGAGGAAGATGGATGTGAAAACATTCCAAGTTCATTCTCATTCTCTCATTCATTCACTCAACAAACCTGTATTGGCTATTTGACCAGAGGCCAGCAAATGTGCTGGTGTTAGGAATACAAATCCAAATAAGGCAGCAAGAGCCAGTGTATCCAAGGCAAGCCGCAGAAAAGATAAAATTTAAAAAATCTAACGTTACCTTTTAAATAAATGCTACCATGAATCATAGTTTGGTTTTTGGAGAAGAATACCAGCTAAGAGCCTATTATGTGCCAAGCATAGTGGGTACTTTGTGTATATTACCTCACTCCTCAGGCAACCCCATATGGTGTGCATTAATACCTCCTTTTAGATCGAGTCAAGGTAACACGTTAGCATGTGGCTGGGCCAGATTTCAATCTAGTTGTGTCTGACTTCCCACTACACTATGATACCTCCCCCAAAATTATTGGGAATATAGTGTATGGACTGTTCTAACATATTTATTCACTTTATTTTTAAAAGAATATTTTTATTGATTTCAGAGAGGAAGGGAGAGAGATAGAAACATCAATGATGAGAGAGAATCACAAATTGGCTGCCTTCTGCACTCCCCCCACTGGGGATCAAGCCCACAACCTGGACATGTGCCCTGACCCGGAATTGAACCTTGACCTCCTGGTTCATAGGTGGACATTCAACCACTGAGCCATGCCAGCTGGGCTAAATACTTCCTTTCTTTTTTAAAAATATATTACAGAGATGAAAGGAGAGGGATAGAGAGTTAGAAACATCGATGAGAGAGAAACATCGATCAGCTGCCTCCTGCACGCCCCCTATTGGAGGTTGAGCCCGCAACCAAGGTACATGCCCTTGACCGGAATCGAACTCAGGACTCTTCAGTCCGCAGGCAGACACTCTATCCGCTGAGCCAAACCGGTTAGAGCTACATACTTTCTTTTTATGTATTATGTTTATGTAAAACTTTCTTTTATATACTTTCTTTTAATCTGAAAAATATGAATTACTTTTCAACTTATACCCATATACAATATAATACTAAAAAGATAAAGTCTGAGAACAAAACCTATATAAAAGTACTGTATTGGGAGATTGATTTAATTAGTCAGATCTCTTCATTATTAAGTGTAGCTCTAAATTTCCTGGTTATATCTAGGTTATATTAAAATATCTATGTTTAATATATATTAGGTGATATAATTAGGTTATATTCTTTCTTTGTCTAATAAAAAGAAACTTACTAGTTCCTTAAGAGAGAGGAACTTTTTGTTGGTATAAATTCTAAAAGAATATTTTCAAGAAAATAATTATATACAAATTATTGAGTAATATAACAAATTATGTCTTTACTGTTTTCAAAGGTACAAAAATGTTATTTTTAAAAATAATATCTTACATTATCTCTTAATATAACGTGAGAATATAACACTGAAAAATATTTAGCAAAACCATTTTTACTCCAAGTTAAACTAATGTAGTTTACTGCTGTCTAACTTGATAATTGATCTAACCTGATAAAGGAATGGGAAAAATCCAGAGTGCTGCCCACCATGAATTAAATCCAAAGGACATTTTAAACAATTCCTGTTACCTAACCTCTCAGTGGCATTTGATATTATTGTCATTTTCCTCCCTCATAAAAAATTCTCCTCCCTTGGCTCCTGTGACATCACGCTATCCTCTTTGGCAACTCTTTTTCAGGCTAGTTTTTCCAGCACATTCTCCTCTGTCTGTCATTCAGTGTCAGAAATCCTCAAGTTATAAAGCTGTCTCCATGCCCAGAGCTCTCTCTTTGCTTGATAGCACCCATCCCAACAGCACTCCAACAAGCTACATGCCAGCCACTCCCACGTTTATCTCCAGCCTGGACCTGGCCTCTGAACCGTACATGGATATCCTCCTGTCTCCTGGGCATCTCCACTTGTAAATCTCAGAGAGATCGCAAAAGCAACCTTCCCCCAAAACATTAGCTCTCCCAAACCTGGTCCTCAGCCACTGCCTTCTCTCTGCATGAAAGACACCACCAGTATTCAACGCCACAAGCTAAAAACAAAGAAGCATTCTATTCATCTTCCTCTGCCTCCCTTGCCATTTCCAAAGCACCACAAGGTCCTGTCCTTGCTTCTTCGAAAGGTATCCATTCATATCCGTTTCCACTATCGCAGTCCTAGTCCAAACAACGTTATCTCTCACCTGGACTTCTGCGGTGACCGCCTAGCTGATTTCACAGCCTCTCTTGCTTCTCTAATCCATTTTCCAAGCCATAGAAAGAGTGTCTTTTTAAATCTCAAATCTGATTATATTGTTCTTTACTTAAAATCATTCCATGGCTTCCCGTCACTGTTGGGATGAAGGTCAAATGTGTTGAAATAGATTGCACGGCCCAGCGTAGTCTGGTTCAAGCCATCCTGAACTCCCTGGACTAGTTCGGTTCTCTAAAATGCATCACACAGGGAGAAGGGCAGTAGAGATAGCAGTGAGTTCGCAGCTACTGAAGCTAGACTTGCGTGGAATCAAATCCTTTCTCCATCACTTGTGAGCTTGTGATCTGAGCAATTCCCTTCTCCTCTATGAGTCTTAGTTTCCTATCTGTAAGATGATCATTATAATCCTTACCTCATAGAGTAGTTGAGGTTTACATGACACAATATCTATAAAACATTTATCACTGTGCCTATTATATAGGAAGCATTCAATAAACATGGGTTATTATTTATTAGCACTTATCTAAGTTTTTAATTACATATGTATATATATATAATGTGTGTAATTGCTTGACTAATGCCTGTCTCTCACGTTAGACTATAAGTTTCATAAAAATTAGGTTTGTCTTTGCTCAAAATTGTATATGCAAGATCTACCCCAGTGCTTGGTAAGTGGGTGCTCAATACATATCTGTTGAATACAATAATGGATGGGTGACGTGACTGTACAGCATCTTTATCTAAACTCCTGTGAATAAAAAATATGGCTTGGAAGCTTCTGGATTTATATATGAAGAGGCTTCGGGTCAGGAGTTAGGGGAGGGTGGGTGGGTAGTAGACTTCTCTTGAAGCTTCAACTGCCATCACTCGGTTTGCTTTAATTATGATACAATCAACACAAATAGCAATTTTCCTAGAGGTTCCTTTATTTACAATATATTTAATGTGCTTTCTTTTTGCTTATTATTGTTGGGGTCATTGATAGCTTTTATTGAAAAGTGGGGCTAGAGTCCCCAAATAATCCTTGGTGATACCACTCAAGATGAGGAATATTATTTGGGATCTAAAATAAACAGTAAATATAAAATAAAAAGTGATTTGGGGATGGGTAGCTTATTAATTTATTACAAAGTCACTCCCAAGAAAGAGTTTGACCAAGATTTTGAGCAATGGTAACATTAACAATATTAGAGTATTTTAAAAAACATTCATGTGGTTGTATGTAATCTAGGATGTGTGAACTTTTAGAAATTATATAAATTTTACCCATCAGATTTGAGAATGTTGAGGATGGTGGGGTTGTGGGAGAAACAGGCTAGCTCATAAACAAATGGTAGAAGAGTAAAGCATGCAATTGTTTAGAGGACAACTTTTTAGAAATGTATGAATATAACAGCAATTTCACTTTTAAAAATTTACCCTAGAAGCATAGCTGGAAATGTTTTTAAAAACACATGAGCTGGAATATTCATTGTAGAATTAGGGCAGGGGCTTTTACTTTTTATACCTCTCTGTACTCTTTTCTATATTTTAAAAAACCAGTAAGTGTTCTTTTTAAAATAGCCCTAATAATTATATTTCACATGGAGATCAAGAAAGAACTGGCTAATTCTAGTATTAAATGAGATGATTGTAAAAGCCCTAGTATAGGCATTGGCTTACAGTAACTGCTAAATTAATGTTATTCCCACCCAACTAACTCTAAGTTTCATTACCTCTCTTCAGATGAGTATCTTGGAAGTAACAACTATGTAGATACTGGTTTTTGCAGCCCTGGTATCCAGTATTGTGTCTAGTTCACAGTAAACGCTAAATTGAATTGAGGAGAGATTCTAAGACTGGCAAGCTTGCAACTATAGCCAAGACAAAAACTGATTAAAAGACAGTGAGGCAGTCTTCAAATTCTCTCCCCTGAAAGGAACTACAAAGTTGGATGAAATTGATAAACATAACCATGTTTGTGCTCTGAAAATTAAATAAAGGCATACAACAATGTTTATGCTTGGAACATTGGTTATTTACACACTCATGGCTGGCTCTAATGCTGTGTGTATTCAAAGAGAAGAGGCAACAGGCCCAGCAAAAAGTAAAAGCCAAGGCAGATAAAAACCCACCTAAACTTTGAATGTGTTTCCTATCTACCCACAGATCAAATGGCAGAGACCAGAAGATTTACTGATACTTAAACACAACCTCTGTCCAATACTTTGCTGTCCTCTAAGTTAGGCCGATATAGAGGAGACTCTCAGTAGCCAGGCTTAAAAATAAAAACAAGAAAAAGAAAAGAAAAGAGCAGAAACCTTAGTAATCACACACTATAGAAAAGACAGATCTAACAGTTTTATCCCAGGCAGGTTATTAAAAAAGCAAACAAACAATAAAAACAATCTTGCCTGAGGACGGGATCAAAATCCAGAGTTGCTACAATACATTCTCAAAACTGTCCAGTTTTCAACAACATCAACAAAGTGAGACAAGCAAAGAAACAAGAAAGTGTGACCATATTCAGGAGAAAACAAGCAGCCAATAGAAACTCTCTCCAAGTTTCTCTGGATATAGAATCTAGCAGATAAAGACTTTCAGCAGCTATTTTAAATATTTTCAAACAACTAAAAATATACTATATTCAAATAATTAAAGAAAACAGAGAAAATGATTCAACAAATATACAATCTAATAAGGAGCTAGATTATAAAAAAAATAATCAAGTTAGGATTTGGCATTCAAAAAATACATAAAGGAAATAAAATATTTACTAGATGGGGCTTGACAACAATCCAAGATGGCAAAAGAAAGAATAAGTGAACTTGAAGATAGATTAATAGAATTATCCTATCTGAAAAGAGGGGGAGAAGAAGATCGAAGAAAATAAACAGAATATCAAGAGCATTAACATATGTGTAATAGTAGTCTGCCAGAGGAAATGAGAAAGAAAAGGGCAGAAAAAAATGTTGGAAGAAATAATGGCTGAAAATGTTACAAATTTGGTGAAAAACATTAATCTGCACATCAAAAAAAGCCTAATGAATCAAAAAATAGAATAAATACAAGGAATCCATACATAGAAACATTTTTGTCAAACTTTTTTGAAAGGCAAAGAGATAATATGAAAACAGAAAGAAAAATGAGTCATCACATACAGGGGAGCATCAACATGATTAACAGTTGACTTCCCTTCTGAATATTCAAGATGAGAAGACAAAAACTGGGATTATATACTCAAAGTGCTAAGGGGGTGCCATTGAAAAATATTATATCCAGCAAAACTTGCCCCCTAAAACAAGGCAAAATAGAGATGCTCTAGATAAATAAAGGTTGAGTGAGTTTGTTGCTAGCTGGCCTGTCTTACAAGGAATACTAAAGGAAGTCCTTCAGACTAAAAGGAAATACCACTAGGGAGTAACTTGAATCTACAGGAGGAAATGAAAAGCATCAAAAGTGGAAAATATGTGAATCAATATAAAAAGTTCTATAAATATATTTTCCTTTCTTCTGTTAACTCTTTCCCACTCATAAGATAATATAAAGTACTGATTGTAGCATCACATTGCTGTATTTATAGAGAGACTAGAGGCCCAATGCACAAAATTCGTTCAAGAGTAGGCCTTCCTTCCCCCTGGCTGCCAGCATCAGCTTCCCTCTGGCACCCAGGACCGGGGCTTCCCTCCAGCACCCGGGAACTGGGCTTCCCTTGCAGCCCTAGATTCTTCCGGAGGTCATCCAGAAGGATGTCCTGAAGAACATCTGGTCTAATTAGCATATTATGCTTTTACTATTATCGATATAATGACAACACGACAATAGTAGCACAAAAGGGGGGAAGAGAATGAAGCACTGTTGGAGCAAAGCTTCTATATCTTGACAGAACTAGGTCAGTAAAAATATGGAGTAGCTCTGACCGGTTTGGCTCAGTGGATAGAGCGTCGGCCTGCGGACTCAAGGGTCCCAGGTTCAATTCCGGTCAAGGGCATGTACCTTGGTTGCGGGTACATACCCAGTAGGGAGAGTGCAGGAGGCAGCTGATCGATGTTTCTCTCTCATCGATGTTTCTAACTCTCTATCCCTCTCCCTCCCTCTCTGTAAAAAATCAATAAAATACATTTAAAAAAACAATATGGAGTATATTGTGATTAGTTAAAGGTTGCATATTATAATCTCTAGGCCAACCAATAAGAAAATAACTCAATATGTAGTTAAAAAATCAATAGAGGAATATAAAGAATACATTTAAAATATTTAGCACCAGAAAGGGCAATAAAGGAGGACCAGAGGAACCAAGAAGCAGAAGGCATATAAAAAATAATTAGCAAAATGACAAATGTAGATGAAACCAATCAATAATTACATTAAATATGAATATTCTAAGCATCCATATTAGTATGAAGAGATTTTCAAGCTGGACCAAAAAAATGATATCCAGCTATATGCAGTCTGTTCCCTAGATTCAATGACAGAAATAGGTTGAAAGTAAAAGAATGCAGATAGTAACAACAGGAGAGCTAAAGTGCTATCAATATAGACAAGCTATATTTTAAGACAAGAAATATTGCTAGAGCAAAGATAGGTATTTCATAATGATAAGAGTTAATGTATCAGGAAGATATAACAATTATAAATGTATCCACATCTAACAAAAGAGTGTCAGAACACATAAATCAAAACTGATATAATTGAAGGAGAAATACACAGCTCAACAAAAATTGTTAGAGATTTCAATACCCTCCTATTAATAACTGACAGAACCAGGTAGAAGATCAGCAAGAATGTAGAAGACTTCAACAATACCATCAACCAACTAGACCTGACATCTATATAACATTCTATCCAATGACTGCAGAATGCACCTGTTTACAAGAGCATATGGAACATTCTTCAGGATGGTCAATAGGCTACGTACACATAAAATACTAGTAAATCTTGATAACTTTAAAAGAACTCATAGGATGCAAAGTATGCTCTCCAATCACAATGAAATTAAATTTGATATTATTAACAGAAACAAATCTTTCAAATTCCACAAGTATTCGGAAATAAAACAATGCACTTCTAAGTAACCTATAGTTCTCAGAAGAAATCACAAGATAAATTATAAAATTTTTTGAACTAAATAAAAAACAGAGATAAGACATACCAAAATGTATGGCATAGAGCTGAAGTAGTACTTAAAAGGAAATTTAGAGCTTTAAACACTTATGTCAAAAGAGAATAACAGTCACAAATCAATAACATGAGCTTCCACCTTAAGAAACTAGAGAACAAAAGTGAAACTATCCCTAAAACAACAGAAAAAAAAAAAGATAAAGATTTGAGCAGAAAGCAGTGAAGGAGAAAGTGAAAACAGATGTTGGTTCTTTGAAAAGATCAACAAAATTGAGGAAACTTTACTGAGACTAACCAAGAAAGGAAAAGGGCACAAACAACCAAAACCAAGTGAAAGATGGGACATTACTCTGATCAGACAGAAATTAAAAGGAACATAAGGGAATATTATAAATAATTTATGTCAAAATATTACACAGCTTCTGAAATTAATGGATTCTTAGACAGACAGAAAATATCAAAAATATCTCAAGAATAATAAAAATTTGGAAAAGACATATGGCATGTAAATAAATGCAATTAGCAATTAAAATCTTCCCCCAAAGAACCCAGGCTCTGATAGTTTCACTTATAAATTCTAGTACTTAAAGAAGATACGATGTCAATACTTTACAAAATCTTTGAGAAAAATAAAGGATGGAATAATCCGAAATTCATTTTATGAGACAAACATTACCTTCATACCAAACCAGATAAAGATATCACAAGCAAAGAAAACACTGACCAATATTCCTCATGAATGTAAAAACAAATATTCTTAACAAAATATTAGCAGACTGACTTCAGCAACATATAAAGAAAATTATATAACATGACCAAATTTATTCTATGCATGCAAGGTTGGCTTTACATTAAAAAATAAAGTGATGGCCGAAACCGGTTTGGCTCAGTGGATAGAGCGTCGGCTTGCGGACTGAAAGGTCCCGGGTTCGATTCCGGTCAAGGGCATGTACCTGGGTTGCGGGCACATCCCCAGTAGGGAGTGTGCAGGAGGCAGCTGATCGATGTTTCTCTCTCATCGATGTTTCTAACTCTCTATCTCTCTCCCTTCCTCTCTGTAAAAAAATCAATAAAATATATTTTTAAAAAATAAAATAAAAATAAAGTGATGACCCTGCCAGCATGTCTCAGTGTTTGAGCATCAACCTGTGAACCAGGAGGTCACAGTTCAATTCTTGGTGGGGGCACATGACCAGGTTGCAGGCTCGGTCTGGGGTGTGCAGGAGGCACGCTGCCCACAACCAAGGCTGTTACTGCTGACAGGCCCCTGGAAGCTGTTGGTGGTGCCCTCCTTATCCATTGTGCTACCCAGTCATGAGTGATTGACAAGGACGAAAGTTAGTGTGCTGCTGGGGGTGTGGGGGCGCTTGTGCCAAGGGAGCCCAGCACCCAGCTTGGAATCAACATGAACAAGAGTGAGAAAGAACAGAGGGTGGAAATAAGGGAGAGGAAAAAGAAGAGAAAGAGAAGGAGGAAGAGATGGAGATGGGAGAGAAGGTGACAGGGAGAAGACAAATGAACCAGTGCAATCATTGGGCTCTTAGAATCCCTTTCCCTGTAATGGGCAGTTGCCTTATTTATGAAGTAGAGGCAGGACACCAATACTACAGGTTTGACATTTACCTTCCGAGTCTTTGTTGTAGAAAACACCATGGGGATGCAAAGAGTAAGGTCGGGAAGCAAAGTTCTTTAAATGGATGACAATCACGTCCCCCACTTCAGCCCTCAAGATGGGGCCCAGGAATCCAAGCCAGGGCGGTTTGGGGATCTCCGTGGAGTACGTCTCATCTGTGTAGTGTCTGTAAACAGCCTTTTTGTAAAGACCACCTATCCTGTTGGGCCCGCTTTCGAGAAATAAGGTTGCAAGTCTAAAAATAAGAAAAAAAATATTTAAATGTGGAAACTGAAAGAAAAATCTTAATAACATGCCTTCACAGGTCATGAAGTACATACACTTACAATTTCTCCTTTAGTGTTCACCATAGCCCTATCGCCGCTGGAGAGCTGGCAAGATTATCCCTGATTTATTGAGGATGAAACGGGGGCTGAGAGTTAAGTGACAAGCCAAAGGCACAAATTAAAACAAAACACAAACACTCTAAAGTCACATGCCCCTTTGCCCCCTTTCATTCAACACCCCCCCCCCTTTGCTTTTTTGTTTGACAAACAATATGCACTTGCTGCATCCCCAGCACTTCGCTGGGTGCTGTGGGGGGATACAAAAGAGCTTATGGCCTAATAATGGAAAAATTAAGGAACTGCGCAGAGCGGTATTGAGCAAGTGCCAACCGAGTGGTTGAAGCATCAGATATAGCTCACATTTTCTAGGAATAATTAGTTCAGAGAAGGAAAAGGTTGCAGTGGTTGAAGAGGTCAGTAAACACCTCATGAAAAATGCAGGAATTGAGGAGGAGGAGGAGGATTAGATAACAAAAGGGAAAAGTGAGGACACTGGGCAGGGACAGAGCAAAAACCATGAGAAAGAAGCAGTCCCCATCGTTTTGGGGGAGAGGAGATTCTAGGCTGGAGGCTATGAGTCCGGAGGGGGACGAGTCGTGAGAAATATGGGTGCATGTAACATCTGGAAGAAGACTGACCAGGTTGAAAAATTTAGGATCTGTCTTGGAAGCACTGAGGACTCACGGAGGTTTTTCCTAAGTGGTGACGTAATCATCAGTCTTTCAGGACCATCCTTACGACAGTGGTGTTCAAGTTTTAGAAGAGTCGGGCAAAGGGGGGGAGCATGAATGAGGGGGCAGGGAAGCTGTCAGGAGACCAGTGGAGATGGGGTGGGTGTAGTTGCAATAGAAAGAAAGGAGCAGATGTGTAAAAATAGGATTGTAAGATGTGATGTGAGCAAATACCCTCCTGGGGCCCCAGGGGGAAGGGGGCACTCAGTCCCAGGGTCTGGGAGCTGGAGACAATAGCAGCACTGCGGACACCACCTCAGAGGTGGCCACGCCGGCTCCTGGGAAGGTGGACCTCCCCTCCCCGCTCTCAGTCTGTGTGCTTAGCACAGGGCTCCACCCCAGACATACGGGCTTCTGCTTGAAGTAAAGCTCCACCCCTTCGGGTGCAGCCATCTGAGTGTAGCTGTGCCCTCGGAGGGTGAGAGGCAGGCCCCCCTCTCACACACACCCCTGCACATGCATTCCCTCTCGGTCACTCAACAAACTTTATGTCAGACCTGGGCTACGGAACAAAAAGGCAAAGCCTGGAAGGAGCTCTCATTCTAGAAGGGAGAGCCATGAGAACACAGATGGGGCACCTAATCTGGAGTGGAAGACAGATCGGGGAAGGTTTTCTAGAGGAAGTAATGCCTAAATATGGCCTCGAAGATCAAAGAGGAGTTGCCCAAGCAATGATATGGAAAGGGCTGATGTAGTAGACACTGTGGCGCTCTGCCAAGTCAGTGCCCACACTCCACTCTTTGATCTGATAGCACACCTTCCCCATTCTCATGCTAAGTACCTTGGAGAGGCCTCCACCCCCAGCTCCAGTCATGGAGCAAGTGACTCAGCCTAACCGATCAGACACCAAGTCCCCTCAGATATTGGTGGAGGGAGGCCCTGTGATCCAGGCCTGGTCAACTGAATTGATGGAACTGGGCAGGGCTGACACATGTAGATGGCAGGGCAGGCTACTAATCTGGTGCTCTGGGCAGATAATGAATATGTGGCTCCACCTGATATTTGCAAAAAATCCTCTTACCTGGAGGAAAGACTGAGTGCTGTGGAGGGGAGAAGGGGGCCTGGTGGTGGCAGTGCTCACCTGCCCCTTGGTCACCAGAAGAGAAGGAGCCTACCCTATAGTTCACTAATGTGAAAGCCGTCGGAAGGGACTTTAGTGACCACCTATTATTACTTGAACACACATCTTGGGGTCTCCTACTTCCAAATCCCAAACCCAATTCAAGCAGGTGATTCTTTCCAACCACATATAATACTCATCCTAGAGAAGTTCTGGAAGTTGTCGTTTTCTCCACCTTCACTGTCATTTCCAGTGAATTTTGTCCCCCCAGCAAGGCCTGCAGTGCCCTAGGGATGTTCTAGTGCCCTTCAGAGATGAGGCCCAGATGTTCTACCTCTTAATCTGGCTCCGCTGAGGACCCCTGGAAGTTCTCCCATCTCGGAGACCAAGCCCTTTCTCATTAAAGGGGCCTTTTTGCTGACAGGTTTGACCTTGTTCTCTGATCATATTAGGTGGTCCGGGGCAGGCCGCATGCCTCAGCTGGTTAGAGTGAGGAAGTGATATGGTTGTGAAAAATCAATTTTTAACTTTAAAACTGTGCCATAGTCTATTTAAATGCTTTTCTTTTTAACTTTGTTGTGCAATAAGCCTCAGTTTATAAATGTGAAGTAAACCCTTCTTGTTAGCAAGTCCCTGGGAGAAAGAAAATAGTCTTTGAAAGACAAGCCCAGCAAACCAAAGCTCTTAAGGTTACTTGGAGGATTTCCGGAAAGATGTTCACTGGATATTTTCTTGTAGCCACAAACTCTACCCTGGACCCAGGCATCATCGGATATACAGCTGATCTTTGAGCAACATAGGTTTGAACTGTGTGGATCCATTTACACACAGGTTGTTTTCAAGAAATAAAGTTGATCCTTTGTATCCTTGAGTTTTACATTTGAGGATTCATTCAGGCATGGATAGAAAACAGTATTTTTGCATTCCCAAATGGGGATTCCCAAATGGGGATTCCCAAATGGGGATCAAAAATACTGTTGAACATCTGATCCCCTCACTTCTCTATTCTGGGTTCCCAACACACACACACACACACACACACACACACACACACACACACACGCACACTCACACCAGTAAACACACATGCATATGCATGCTGAGCAGAAGTTCCTTATCATGAATTGTCTGGCAGAGCCAGCCAGACGAGAGGGAGGGGAACTGTAGGTTGCCTTCTGACAGCACTTATTGCATATGCTGCATATTTTAGCACTGAGTTATTTATTGACTTGTTTTGCATCTTCCTGGACATGTGTCAATCTTATCACCTAAACAGTCATCCCGAGAAGGGATTAGGTTTACTCAAACAGTGGCTCCCAAATGTCCACCTAGGTACTAACTGTATCCAAATTATTTGGGACATTTGCCAAAAATGTAGGTCCCCAGGCCCCATTTTAGGGCAATTGAATCGGACTTTCTGTGTCAGGGCCGTGGCATCTATGCTTCCTGAGCTCACTAACCGATTCTCACGACAGAGCCTTCCAGTGCTTGCCCATTCGGAGTCTTCTTTCTTCCCAGCAGAAAGGGAGAACACAGAGAACTTTTGCAGTTCGGTGGGGCCATGGGATTTTGGCAAGTGAGCTATGAGAGGAAGTGACGTGTGCCACTTCTGGGCCAGGGCCTTTAATTACAAGACCCCTCATTTCCTCTGCTGCAGGGGAAGCCTTCAGCGGCGACAGTGAAGCCTCCAGATCGAAGCAGCCTGGCTCGCTAGTTCAGGTGTCCTGCAGTCGTATGGCCCTCAGTGAACCCCAGTGTGTGAGAAATACACCTCTGTGGTGTGAGCCGAGACTTGGAGATTATGTGTAGCTACAGCACCAGCTGACTTATTCTGACTAATACAATTCTGATGTGAATGCAAGTTTGGAAATCACATTTCTATAGCATTTAGCACAAAACCCATCGAAACCACCTGACCCATAGTAACTATTTGAAACCACAGGAACTATTGGAAGTGGAAAAGGCAGGGAAAGAATGGAAGTCAGAGAATGTCTATGTAGCCGACCACCCCTAGAACACAGCATACCCTTGTAACAGTTGGACAGAGACGCCAGCTCATATGAGTTCTAAAAATGCAAGTCTTGCCCCCAAACAAAGAAAGGGGTGATTTCACAGAAGGCATCCTCAGGAAGCAGCCCGAGGTGTAGCTGGAGTGCACACATTAGATGCTTCAATGGCGGGCTGTCTATTGTTTATAATTCAGCTGCAGGACGGTCGCACTGTGATGGACCAAGTGATCACTACCCCTCAGGTTCACCCCCAGCATACATCCTAACATTTTGACTCAAACTGAGCAGGTGTCTTTGTCCTGCTGTGAAGGAATCCAGTTGGGCTGGGAAGTCTCCCATCAGCAACCACTTTAAGGACAGAACGAGATGCAAAATGCTCACATTGCTAAGGCCAGGGGCAATCCTGCCAAAGAGACACATTCTAAAAGCTGGTGAGATTAACCACTGCGGGAATGAGCCTGCCCCTGAGAATCATTGAACCAGTGCAGAAGCGGACTCCAGGTTAGATTCCCAGGACTTCATAGCTCACAGCAGGCATGCACCTTGCCAGAACCACTGTTCCCCACAGCCTGGACCTTTTAGCAGGATTCTTCCGCATCCATTCAACCACTGAGCATTGCAGAACCTCTCCTGTATATGGGACATTAATCTAGAAACTAGGGCCAAGATGTGTGAATCTCAGTCCCTACACTCAAGGGACATACCATCTGGTTGGGAAGACAAAACATATGCATTGGAGAATAAATAGCAACACCCAGTTTTCCATACCAAGTGGCAAAGATATCATATAGAGCTAAATGTCTGAGTGTGTGTGTGAGAGTATGAGGGCAGGGTAAAGATGAGCTTTGAAGTAACATCAGCAGAGGTATGGTCAGGGAAAACATAGGAAATTATTAAAGTCACAATATGGATAAGCAATTGTTGTCTGAGCTTGAGAAGGGACATTGTTCACCGAGGAGAAACAGGACTAAATGGATACAAATGACACTTGGCAAAGACAAGGGTGGAGATGGTGATTATACACTGCAGCTCAGGTGCAGCCACACGCTCCCTAATTGGGTTAATGATTTCAAAGCCATCCCACCTAAGCGATGTGCTCCCGTTCACAT